TGGGTCAGTTCCTGGGCACGGGGGTAGGCTTGGTGCAGCTGATGGCTGTGGCTGTGCTGTGCTGGTGCTGGGTGCTGCAGCGTGGCACTTGGTCAAGTTGGATCTACTTCATCTTCAGCATCAGTAGCAGTAAGAACAACTAGTGTGAATTGAGGTTTGCTTTGTGAGTGGCAGCACGGCATGCTGGCTGGTGCTGAACATTTGCCTCTCTTGTTTCCCAGGACCCTGGTGTTCCTGATGAGACACTTGGCCTGTCTTGCTGCAAACAGCTCTGTCACCAACATGCACTCTAAGAACTTAGCCATTGTGTGGGCTCCAAACCTCCTAAGGTAAACTTCTTTTTCCGTTTCAACAGAACGCTTACATCTGTTCTCCAGTAGAATAAAGCAGTCCTCCCTTCTTCTGCACCACATGTGCTCTTCTCCTGTAAAATGTGCAGTGAGTGGCTGACAGCAGAGCAGGAGCCTGGACTGTTCTCCAACCCCGCGTGGGCACAATTTCTAGCTGAGCATTGCTGCTCTCTTGTTTAGATGGGACTGGTGTGTCCTTGATCAGACAGGAGAACTTCTTCAGTGGCATCTCTTATATGCCCGCTGCGGAAGTCTCCTGAGAACAAATGTGACAGCTTTGGGCTGCAGTAATTCAGACCTGGGGAGGCGATCTTGGCTGAATGACTTCTAAAACCTGCCTTTTCTACAGATCACAGCAGAGCGAGTCTGCCTGCGCCAGCGGGAGAGCTGCCTGCACGGAACTGCAGACGCAGTCGGCTGTGGTGGAATTCATCATCGACCACACAGACGTCCTCTTCTGCTCCACATCCGGATCGGACATTGCAGATGGAGCAGGTGAGTGTCTTCCTCCATTAGCTTTGTCTTGGTCAGACACCTGGATCAAATGCAGGCCTTTTCCAAGTCCTTTGAAATACACTTTTCCTGTCGAGGGAACAGCAGACTTCTGGGCTTAGATTGGAATCTGGCGTCCAGTTGCTGGATGCTGAGAATGTGCAAGCCCAAACATGACAAGGAGAAAAAACCATCACTGTCATTATGATGTTTTGCAAGCAGGTGAAGCTTGATTAACGTGTGGCAGCGGAGCTTTCTCAGTTCCCTGCCCCCATTTTCTAGGGTTTTTGTTTGCCTGTTTCGATACAGGGAGCTGCTCTTAATGATGACTGCGTCCTTTGCCATAGACACACCTCTGAGCACATGGTTGTTTTGAGCTGCTCTTCTTCCAGTGGCTCGGTTAAGCAAGTCTGAGGAAAACACAGCAGCTCCCCCGGACCTGCGATGGCTGTGCTGCCGCTTTCTGATCCTGGCTCTCACCTGTGGTTTTCCCTTCCAGGGCACAGTTCTCTCTCAGGGCCCCAGTCTGTGCAGGCGTCTTCTCCTGCCACAGAGCTGCTCAGCCTGGAGGAGGCGCAGGCACGGAGGCGAGGCCACAGCAGCTCTCCTGTCGTTGTGACAGAGAGCAGTGACGTAGAGGTGGAAGAAGGCCCCACAGCTGTACGGGGGAAATTCCACACAGTCATCGACTTTCCACCTGAAAGGTAAAGAGGACTTTGTTTTCCAGCAGCTATCATCACTGTTTGGGTGGGTTGTGTTTGTTCTGTCTCCATTATTTCTAGTGCCTAAACTTGTGGAAATTAGATTTAATGAATGGTGCCTGAAGTGTTGCAGTGAATCTCCCCTCCCTTTGGACTGTGAGATTCAACTAACATTGAGTTGCCCGCCGGGCTCAGTTTAGCCTCACAACGGTGCCGTTCCTTCCTTGCTGGGCAGGCAGTGACGAGATGCACAAAGCCACGCTGACGTCTACCCTGGCCTGTGCTGGCTGTACCTGGAAAGGTTGGGGTTTTCCAGATTTCAGAGCCTCGTGCCTGAATCCAGTTCTGGTTCTCCTCTACGCAGAGCTGTTGGTCAGACCTGCTGACACTAGAAACTAGACATGGCAGTGAAATGGGCTGATGAGCTGTCAGTGTCAGAGTCAGAGATGCTTTTGAAGTTCCTTTATGGCTGTGCAATTCCTCAGCCAGCAGTTATGCCTGCCTACTCAATCAAAGCCACCCTTTGATGCTGTCCTGTACAGGTGTGGAGCCTGTGGACCTCACATGCTCTGCATCTTGCTTGACACAGTTGAGGGGAATTTAGCCAGCAAGACTTCAGGGCTGAGCTATAGGAATGGAACCATCCTCAACTGCTTGAAATGGAGCGAGTTTCTAAGCTGTGTTTCAGCAGGAACCAGGCGGTGCTAGGAACAAGCAACTGTTGGCACGAGCTCAGTGCAGCTCTTCCCTCACCCTGCGCCACGCACGACTCACACCATTCCCTGTTTTCTCTCTCCAGACCAAGTCCACCCAGCAAGATAAAGGAATCACCAGCTGGCTGTTGGTGTTCCTGCTTCAGCCTGGGGAAACCATCGTCTGGGGCCAAACGCCAGCCACAGCACCATCCCAGGGAGCCCTCAGAAATAGAAATCGTAGTGCTGGCAGGTAAGGGTGCAAATCCAGCTTTCAACGCCTTGCTTTTCAGCAACATAGAATTCTTGCTGTCAGTGGGCTTGTATCTACTTCCAGCGTTCCAACCCATACCTAACACCTTTAGTTCTCCCCTGATCAAGAACCCCTTTTGTAATTCAGCTTGTGAAAGTTTGGCACTAACCCCTGTGTATCCTTCCTAGATGAACTGAGCCCTTGTCCACCCAGAAGAGCTGGAGCAAGTAGCGAAGCTGGGCTGTGTGCTTCCACCAATGGAGAGCTCTTGGGAAGCACAAATGGCTGCGGATCACGTGACAGCCTTGCACGTAACAACAGTGATGGAGAGAGGGAGCTCATCCAAGTTGAAGCCCTCATTTCTCCTGGCTGTGCTGAAGATGCTGACCTGTGCCCACCAGGCACCGCAGTCACCAGCCTGGACTGTGACCCGGCACCTTTGCAGTGCAGCCCAGCCCAAGTACAGTCCGAGTGCCCGGACAGCAACACCTCTGTGCAGGAGCAGGTCAGCATCAGCGAGGAGCAGCAGAGCCTCTTGGAGGGGGGCGTACAATCAGGCCTCCAGTCCCAGGCACCGTGCAGCATCTCTGAGAGCTCTGAGCCACTCTCTACGTGATCTTTCCATCCAAGAGAGGACGATTTCCATCTTTACCTGGACCTCTCACGCCCTCCTGTGTTTTCCTTTAATAATAAAAGCGCACTTATACTCACTCAACGCCTTGAGTGCCTGTGGAGTCTTCATTCACGAGGACTGGGATGAATGCGGCACACAGCAAGGCACCTCTGCTGGCAACGCTGAGGCTGCAGGGTGCACGAAGCAGAGCTCTGGGTTATTTCCCATTCTGTCTGGCTTTGGGATGTCTGCAGGTCCCAGTTGGTACGGTAGCAAATAATCTCTAGCATCCTGGATTCTGCTCGTGGTGACCCCAAGCTTCCTGGCGGTGGCTTTGTGATGCCTTTCAGGGCTTTTGGATGCACTGTGATGCCTTGGCTGCTCCCTAGCACCTCTCTCCTCCGGCAGCGTCCATTCCTTGAAGGAATCAGCAGCTGGCTGTTGGTGTTCCTGTTTCAGCCTGGGAAAACCATCTTCTGTGGCCAAACGCCAACTGCAGTGCAATGCCAGGGAGCCTGCAGAAATGCAAGTCGTAGTGCTGGCAGGTAAGAGTGCAAATCCTGCTTCCAAAGCTCTGCTTTCCAGCAACATAGAATGCATGCTGTCACTGGGCTTGATTGCCCTTCTAGCGTTCCAGCCCATACCTGACACCTTCAGTTCTCCCCTGATCAAGAACCACTTTTGTAATTCAGCCTGGGAGAGTTTGACACCAACCCCTGTTCATTCTTTTATAGGTGATTCGTGCTCTTGTCAACCGAGCAGAGCCAGAGCATGTAGTGATGCTGGGCTGTGTGCTTCCACCAATGGAGAGCTGTTGGGAGGCACAAATGGCTGCGGTTCAGCTGACAGCCTGCCGCATAACAACAGTGATGGAAAGAAGGAGCTGATCCAAGTTGAAGCCCTCATTTCTCCCGGCTGACACAAAACTGGGCAGAGTGGCTGACACAGCAAAAGGCTGTGCTGCCTTCCAGCGAGACCTGGAGAGTTGGGTGGGGAGAAACGGAATGAGAAAGAACAAGGGCAGGTGTGGAGTCTTGCATCTGGGCAAGAGCAACCTGAGTACCAGTATAGGTTGGGGGCTGAGCTCTTGGAGAGCAGCGTAGGAGAAAGGGATCAGGGGATCCTGGTGGGCGGTAGGAGGAGCATGAGCCAGCACTGTGCTCTCGTGGCCAAGAGGGCATCGTGGGGTGTATGAGAAAGAGTACGGACAGGAGGTGGAGAGGTGCTCTTTCCCCTCTACTCTGCCCTGATGAGTGGAGCATCTCCCTGTGAGGAAAGGCTGAGAAAGCTGGGTCTCTTTAGCTTGGAGGAGACTGAGGGGTGACCTCGTTGATGTTTATAAATGTGTGAATAGTGAGCGTGAGGAGGATGAAGGCAAGCTCTTCTCAGTGACATCCAGTGATAGGACAAGGGGCAATGTGTGCAAGCTGGAGCATAGGGGGTCCCACATAAATAAGAGGAACAACTTCTTCACGGCAAGGGTAACAGAACACTGGGATGGGCTGCCCAAAGAGGTTGTGGGATCTCCTGTGGAGACATTCAGCAGCTACCTGGACATGTTCCTGTGTGCCCTAATCTAGGTGATCCTGCCCCAGCAGGGGGATTGGACGAGGTGATCTTTGGAGGTCCCTTCCAATTCCTGACATTCTGTGATTCTGTGCAAAGTTGGTTCACGGTAGTACTTTTGCTGCTGGGAAATAGGAGCGCTGATCTTTGGGGTAAGTTCAGCAAGGTGGACTCCCCTAAGCTGATACTGACTTCATCCTATAGCGTTGACTTCTGTCGTGATTTATTCCATGCCAGAAGTTCCGGATGCTGTCAGGAGTTATTCAAGCCCATTGGTGTTAATTTGATCCTGGACTGGCTGCTGCTTGACATGCTGTCTGCACAGAGGTAACACATGCATTAATTTGTTTCCTGTCCTCTGCTGTTTTGTCTCTTGTTTTTAGTTAATGCTGAAAACCCACCTACGGCTGTGGTTGGGAAATTGGTTCACTTGCTCGATCGGACCCAGATTTTCAGGAGGAGCTGGAGCTAATGAAACTGTGTGAGGAAGCTGTGACCTTGATCCGATCTAATCAACAGCTTGAAAATGACCTCAATCTCATGGACCTCAAGATTGGACTGCTAGTGAAGAACAGAATGACACTGCAGGTAGGAAATGCAGTGCTGGGAGACGAGCAGAGTGAATTGAGGCCAATGGCAGTTAGCATGAGGACCTTCTGAGCCTGGATCTCACTTACTCAGATGCAGTGGGAAGTATTTCCCCCCGAGTTACAGGTTTTCCTCCCAGTAAGTTCCTAACTGTTCCACTTATTACTATGTATCCCTAGAAAGAGAACTGCAGCAGAAACATCAAGGCTTCAAGTGTTTTAAAAACAAAGCACCAGAAAAAAACCCACTCGGGACCAAGGGAAAGCAATAGATGGTATGCTTGAAGGCTCTGAGAACTGTTTGTCTCTTCACTTGTGGTTACGTGAGTCATGGACTTGCACACCTTAATTTCTTCTCACGTTTTGTGTGCTGTATCAGAAGGGGGAGGTGATTTTGGAGCAGGAAATGTGCTCAGACTGCTTGGTGTTGGTTGGCTGATGGAAGCCCCCTCTGTCACTTTGCTGACGATTGATTGCACACAAGAACAACGTTGCTGATACAGCGGTGCCTTTTTTTAACTCAAGCTGAAGTTACAGTCACCTTTTCCTTTGGTCCTGAATAGCGTGGCGCTAGGCTTGACCTTGTGTAAAATCTGAACCATGGCAGCAGTGAAGTTCAGTTCCAAAGGAGGCTCCAGCTCTTGGGCTGATGCTGGCAGCAAAAAGTATCATAGTTATCAGAGCAGTGGAGGCAGGGAGTCAGCAAAATGGAAACAGGGCTTGGGGCTTCAAGCACAGTTGAGAAAGAAAGGCATTTTCAAGCATCTTCAGAACGCTACCAGCTGTGACAGTAGTCCCTGCTCAAAGCAATTAGTCCTTGTAGGTTCTCACCCAATTCTGGAATGTGGGGACAAGACAGAAATCGCTGCTACAACAGATAATGTTTCACTTCATGATCTCCTGATGTACCTTGACTGCCTTATCCACCCAAAAGGAAGTGCTATCGTGCAGCTTTTTCCCATATTGCGTGTTATTTAAATGTGGAATCTGTCCCTCTGTGTTCTTTGCAGGATGTTGTTTCTCATAGCAAAAATCTTAGCAAGGAGAACAAGGAACAGCTCTGTGACGTGATGACGCTGAACGAGCAAAAGGGAGGTTTGAAAGCTTTGAGCAAAGAGGAGAGGGAAAAGCTGGAAGCCTATCAGCATCTTTTCTACTTGAGGTATGCAGCTTTTCATTCACTGCTCTTGTCATAGATGCTTACGTGTATTGGAACAGTCTGTGCTTCTGCACTGCAGTGTTGAGGCGCTGTCTGTCTTTGTGGTGTTGGCTTTTGTGGACACGTGCTGTATGGGAACTGCTGAGTCATGGCCTGAACCTCTGATTGATCACCTGAGGCGAGCAGTGAGTCAGGCAGAGGAGCACAGGTGAAGGCAATGCAGCTGTGCTGCTGGAAGGGGTGCAGCCAGGCTACAGCCCTCCTAGACCTGTTTAAGAGCTGGCTGCCAGTGGGGAAGGATCTCGTCTGGAGATCTGCTCTGCTGGAGTTTTGTAAGTGAGCCCAGGATAGGGGTAAGCCTTCTATTTATTCTCCTTTTGTTAGCTTAGTCTGCTTTGTCAAACTCTCTTGTTTATTTCATAATGACAACATCTTAATAGTCATTGATTATACACGTGCACTAAGTACTTTTTCTTCTTGTTTTAGACTACTCCAACGTACTTGGCCAAGCTGCTTTTGCAGATGCCTCAAAACAACCCCACAGAGTTCATGGATTCAGCCATCTTCACGCTGCATAACTACGCATCCAGTCAGAGAGAGGAATCTCTGCTGTTGCGGCTGTTGCAAACAGCATTGCAGGAAGAGATCAAGTACGTTGTAGCATAGGACACAGCCTTGCTGTTGCCTGAGTTTGGGCCGCTGCTAAAATTGCAGCTGTTGTTGTGTGATGTCCCGTGCTCATTAGCTGATAATGCTGAACTGTCCCTGCCTTCTGCTCATGCTGTTTCACGTCAGTCCTTTCTGTAACCTGGAAGGAGGAGGAATTACCTTTGTTCTTTAGGATTAAAGCCATTTTTCTTTAGCCAGTGCTTTCTTGCTCAGGGAGGCACTGTTTTTGATCTACTGCAGTGCTTTCCTAAGATTCATTCCCATCTAAGTTCTCTGCTGTCTAGTAAGAAGGACTTGGCACAGACTGCGAGCTTGGGCTTTACAGGCCAGAGTGAAGCTGACGCGAAGGTCACTGTTTTCCAAAACTGATGAGGAGGCTGAAAATCAGATGCTGTCTGGTTTGGGTTTTTTCCTGGCTGTCAGGCTTAAGGATTCTGGCTGTCTGTCGGCATAATTGAGTTGATTGGCACTTAGGAGTTTGGTGTTTATGACTTCTGGCTGATACGGAGCTTCACAACTTGCTAGGAATAGCAAATACATGTAATGTTGGAGGCAGTCATGCCTTTTTTGATGTTTTTAAGTGTGAGGATGGTATGTGCCCTCCAACAGGTAACGCCTAAAAGGTTTGTTTAATTATTATTATCTTTTCTTGGAGCAGTAGTTCAGGAAAGTGCATGTCTATGCTTTATTCTCTGCTGCTGGATTTCCCATAGCGGCATGCTGTGAATGGCTCTTGTTGCTGATTGCTTACTTGTTGAAATACTGAGAGGAAATAGTTGTGCCTGTGTAGAACTCCCTTTGTTTCCTCTGTATTTTTGAGATGCGCTCTTTCAACCGTGGTGCCCGTGGTCAGAACGCACTGAGGCAGATCTTGGCCCCAGTTGTGAAGGAAATAATTGAGGACGAATCGCTCAACGTCAGAACGGATCCAGTGGATATTTACAAGTGCTGGGTGAACCAGATGGGATCTCAGAATGGTGAGGCCGGGTATGGAAGCTGTTGCTACTGTTTTTTTTCTGAAAGTTGCTCAGCTGCTTTGCATTGCTCTGTTAATCGTTCCGAACCATCCCTGTATTCATTGCATGCATCTGTCCAATTGCTACCAGCTTTTTTCCATCAGCTCGAGATGGCTTTCTTCTGAAAGGTATAAAGATCATCTTGTGACAGGGGTGTTGAGACTATGAGAAGTGAATCTCATGAAGAGATAGGCCAAAAAAAGCCCCAAAGCATTTCTTCTGTGTTAACTCATAGGTACAGATACCGTAGCTCTTACTCTACCAAGCCAATCTCTGCCCACAACTCGGGCAGGCTGCCCAAGGAGGCTGTGGATGCCCCATCCCTGGAGGCATTCAAGGCCTGGCTGGATGTGGCTCTGGGCAGCCTGGGCTGCTGGTTGGTGAACCTGCACGCAGCGGGGGGTTGGAACGAGATGAGCATTGTGCTCCTTCTCAACACAGGCCGTGTTCATAGAATCACAGCATGCAGCTGTTCCTGTCTGCCCATGAGAAGGTTTCATCCACGTGGTCATCCTGGTTGGTTGGCCTGTAGATCCCCCGCTACGTCATCTGTCCCTGTCCTCCCTTTAATCTGTGTCTATAAAGTCTTGATGGGCTCCCATCCGTCCCCAGTCAGAGTTCTGTGTTTCTTCCAGTGCTTGATGTTGACCAGATTTTGAGGATTCTGTTGTTGGTTGTATTTGTTTTGTTTTTAAGGCACTTCAAGGGAAGTGGTGGAAAAGCAATGCTATGAAGTAAAAGACAACTGTCCCAGCGCAGCACGCTGCGTGAGTTACTATCTTAACACTGCAATGTGCAGCTTGTGTTTTCACTGATTTATTTGCGACCTGAGGTACTACTGCGTATCGCAGGTGACCTTCTTGACTCTAGAGAGCGTGTCTGCATGTGGTACAGAAAGATACAGTTCAGAGTTAGCTGGGCCTGTTCTCACAGCGACTGCTGCAGGGACAGCAGAGGACGTGAGAAGTCCTTTGCTCTTTCAGTGCTAGCATTCTAATGAAAGTGAAAGCGTGCAGCTCTTTGCAGCCAGGTGAGCGTGGATCTGTTTGTGTGTCAAGCCAACAATTCTGCCTGGCACTGACAAAAGTATATTAGGCTGAGGAGTGCTCACCTTCACATCTGACTTTTCCAAATAGCAAGTTGCCGTACGATGTTACACCTGAACAAGCTCTTAATCACGGTGAGGTGAGGACGCACCTGGATGCCTCAACCCGAGATGTGAAGGCAGTGACAGACAAGTTCCTGTCTGCCATCGTTGTTCAGCTGACCAAATCCCGTAAGTCTGGTGTGTCACCGCGTTATCCTGCAGCAGTTAATAGTGGGTTCATCCGTGAGGAATTCTCACTTGCCTTTTATTTCCTTCGAAGTTACGGGATGCGTTTCATCGCCAAGGTACTGAAAGACTCCCGGCATGACAAGTTTCCTGATGCTGGCGAGGATGAGCTTCTGAAGGTAAGGAGCTGAGCAGCTCTGTGAATCATTGTCTGCCACGCTGACTGCAGCAGATGCATCTCAGTGTTGTTTGTTGGCTGTACGTGTGCAGAGAAGTTTCAAAGCTGCAGTTTAAGTAGACAGGCTATTTGTTGTTATGGGTATAAAGTACTTTGCCCTGTGCTTTGGATTGCTGGATACATGTTTGTCAAAGGAGAACATAATACAGCGTTCAGAAGAAGTCACCCTATTGCTTTTCCTTTTGCTTTTAATATCTTGGGCATTGTGCCCCCTAGGTTTCTTGGCTTTGGGATGCTCTTGCTGCTGAATGGTGCACCTTGGTTTTGCTGGTGTTATCTGAGTCAGTTGCTCTTTTTTTAAAGAGACAGTGCCAAGTTGAAAAGGCCCGTGTGCAGAATTCTACTCTTCTCACTTCCCTTACAATATTCTAGGGCATTACAGTAGCTGCAACAAAGTATATGGTGTCATTTTTCATGAGGTGTGGGCAGTTTTGTGTTGTACATTTCCGTACTTTGGAGAACGAAAAGGATGTTAGTAGTAAATGCTTCCAAATGAGCACAGCATTGTGGCTTTCATTGGGATTGTCCTGGCGTTTGTTATTTTGAAGGTCTTTCTGTCTGTGAGTGCTCTTCTTCTTAATAAAACAAAGAGTGGCTTTGACATTACTTGCCACAGTCTCTTTAAGCTTTTCTGTCTCTGCTTCATTACGAAGTAATTCCCAATCTGAATGCCGTTTTCTTCTCTCTTCTGGTTCCGTGCTTTCCCGTTCTGAGGCATCGATTCTTTCTGTGCAGGTGAATTCATTTTTTCCATCTGTAAATGTAGGTGGAAAGCTGCAGTTTTTATTAATCCTTGTGGAAACAATGTCACGGCCCATGCCGCACTCTGAACTGCAGCTGCGTGCGGTGACTGCCTGTAGATGCATTAGGGCCTAAAACTACTCCTACAGTGTACTGTTCTTGTCTTCCTACTACATGTTTTACTATTATCAGTATGATTTCTCTCACAAATGTGTTTCTTATGACTGGTAGTGAACAGTTTTGTCTGTTGTGACCATGTGCCGTCACCTGGGATAGTAGAGCAAGAGCTGAAACCGCTGTCAAAACCATGACCTCTCTGAAAGCAGTTAATTTCTGGGGCAGCTTAGCAATGGCGAAGCTTCTTCTTTCTGTTTTTGCCATTTCTTCACACCTCTGATCTCTTCTGTGCATTCAAATCGCACGTGAAGCAGGAGAAGCCCAGATTCTGTGACTTGGCTCTGCGCAGATTGATGTGAAACTCCAGGAAATACTGAAGCATGTGGCGTGGGAACTTTTGCTGCATGTCAGCGTGCTGGGCCAATGCCTTTTTGTTGTGGGAATTACTGCAGGCAAATGTCCAATACGGGTTAGAAGTAGATGGATGAGCACGTGGATAACGGGCTGTCTTTATCTTTGGGGCCTCGGCGTTCATTGCTGCTCACTTAGCTGGTGAATTGGACTTCTTTTGAAATGTCAAATACCGCTCATCTTCGGCACTTCTGAGTTTCTTACTTCTGGATTAAATGCACAGTTGTGCATTTATTTAGTGTATGTATCTATGTTGCAGTGTGAAACTAAGATTCTTTGGGACAGCATGTGCTTATTAATGGCAGCGCAGTAGACCCTGCATCTGGAACGGGGCCCACAGCTCACAGGAAAGTAATTGGTCAGAACTCACTCGGAGTAGTGTCAGTAAAAGTCAGTGGAGGTCTGTGCCATTGGTTTTCCACGTGTTTTTTTCTCTCCTCAACTTGTCCTAGATTGTTGGCAACTTACTCTATCACCGCTACGTGAATCCGGCCATGGTGGCACCGGATGCATTTGACCTAATGGATCTTTCAGCTGGAGGGCAGCTGACTGCAGATCAACGAAGAAACCTTGGTTTGTTGCAAAGATGCTGCAGCATGCTGCGTCCAGCAAGATGCTCATGGGAGACGGTGCACATCTGAGCATCGTGAAGGAATACTTGTCACAGTCATCCCAGAAATTCAGGTAGAAGACTTGAGCTGATTGTGTTGAGGAGTTTGTCAGTGGACAGTGTTGCAAACAAAGAGGAGTGATGAATTTTAAATGTAATAAATTCCATCTCAGTCAAAAAGGAGGTCTGTTGAAAATGAGAGATTGCCCTTTGGGCTTCCACAATCATTGATCATAATGACATATAAAATACGTAGCTGGAATTGACAAACTAGATATAGTATATTAATGAGCTGGTCCAAACAATTGGCTTTGCCATACAAGCCTCCAGAGTAAAGGCTGTTTTTCTATGTGTTTATTATGATATTCTGGCCATTGAAAACTAGAGTGTGCGTGCGTTCTTTCCTATATGCACCCTAGTTCTCTGTATGCAAACTAGATGGCACTTTGGATTAAAGCAGGCTGGAATTTAGTTGTTTGTATAATCAAGTAACTTTTGAATGAAGAGCTTCTTTATATCTTTCATCTTTTGTAAGAAAGAAAACTGGAAATGGCTGGGAGTGAGGATTATTCTTGCAGCTGAGACAGAAGGATGGGTGCACAAGGTCATTCGGTCCATGGACTTGTCCTGCAGATGCTTACAGTGAGCGAATGCCGACATGGCCAGTACCAATAACTGAATCTTCTAGATGGCTTTTGATGTGATAAGCTATAGCTTGTCCAATTGCAGTATGCTTGGGAACCATGGTTTGAAGAAGAACAGCTACTGGTATGCTGATTACCTTTTTCTCCTTTTTCTTTTCTTTTTTTTTTTTTTTTTAGACGCTTATTTCAGGTTGCTTGTGAGGTTCCTGAATTGCAGGATCAATTCAGTATTGATGAATATTCTGGCTTCCTTCCTTGTCTATCCCTTCTGCAGAGCTTATAGCCATCAATCTCAAGGCTCCAGTCATGGGAGCAGTCCCACCATGTTTCAGTAACAGCAGCTAGATCGTAGTTAGCCTGGTGCACAATGGCTTCCAGTTCCTCCTGCTTGTTGCTCATGCTGCGTGCATTGGTATAGGTGCACTTGAGCCGAGTCATTTGCCTGACTCCCAGCTCTAAAATCGTTCCGCCAGGCTCTTCTCTTGTGAGGCCTGTACTGTCCCCTTCCCCCGTCATAATTAGTTGATTGCACAGGAAGAAAAGCTTGATGTCTGTGCCAAGGGAGACGTACACCGCACTTGCGCTGCCTGGACGATGTGGAAACTGGAAATTGTGGGGTGTGCTGAAGCATGCCCTCTCAGGTCAGTCTAAGCATACACAGAGTAGACCTGTCTAGCAAAACAGGGAATAGACAGTTAAACCCATTCTGTTGGGAAATACTCTCTCCTTCTAAGTACCTTTAGAACGTGAGTTTCTTCAATTAATTACTCAACTCATTTGCTTTTCCTGAATGATCCTAAGTTCTTTTCTCAGGCGACATCTGCACTCTGCTCAGTCCAAGGAGAATCCCTGCCCGCAGATGCAATGACACAGCATGGCTCACCACCTCATTTTTCATTGCTTACTGTTATGGTAGCTGCCATCCATGTCCAGGCTGCATGTTCTTAGAGCTCTTCTGGAGTCCATGGGGCAGACTTATGGTTGAACTAAAGGGAATTTTTTTATAATGCTCTAGCTCCAGATGATTATCCCTAGTATCATTGTATTAAAAAAAAAAAAAAAAGGCGTTTTGAAGTAGTGCGATATATCTTCTGTGCCTCAGAATGTGGCACGTGTGGCATGAGAGAGTTTTGAGGCCACGAGGACTGCCCAGACAGCATGAGAACTGTAAGAGCAGAGAGCTATAGGTGATGCAGCGCTATTGGTGCCACCCGCAGGAAGCGGTAGCTGGAACAAAATATGGCCAGAAGAGTGATCAGATTGCGTTTGGTAAGGAACTATTTCATTAGTTGTAGAACTTTGACAAAATGTATATTCAGGATGATGATCAGCATGCCAGGTGCTGGGACCATGCCGAAAGAGAAATGGTCTGAAAACGTCGGTGCAATTTGCAATATATCCCCTTCCACAAAGCCCTCAGATCCATGCTGCAACTGCATCCAAAGCAACGCAGAGCCCTGTGCTTGTTGTACCCGGAGCTGTCGGTGCCAGGAGTTGCTGCTGTGTTTGCAAGGACGTTGTGTCAGCAGTGTGCCGTCAGTGGGGTTGTTTGATGGCAATGAAACCGCTGAATGGTGTACCTCAAGACTCAGAAAGAAGATGGTAGTGGTGACTGTGTGTCTGGGTATAGATAGCTTGATACAGATCGATAGGACTGCAGTGTGGATTGTACATAGGCCCTGCGCTGCGAGGTACGCTGTTGGGAAGCAATGTCCATCTGCCCGAGGGCAGGAAGGCCCTGCAGAGGGACGGCCTGAGGCCAGCCGTACGAGGCTGCACAGGAGCAAGCGCTGGGTCCTGCGCTGTGGTCATGACAACCGCATGGCAGCTTGTGCAGGATTGGGCTGAGGTAGAATTCCAAGGGCCCACTGATTCTAGAATGTTGGGTGCGGTGTTGGAATCTTCTGGTCCTGTGACATGGTCTTGCCTCCCCACCCTGTCGTCATGGCGGAGCAGCCTGGTGGCCCTTAGTGATGTCACAAGAGGCTGGAATGAGGGGAGGAGCAGTGCGTGCTGCGTCCCTTCATTGGAGCGCTTGAGCTCTGCGTGAGTAGCTCGCTTGTTGCCCTTGTGCAGCGACTGAGTGCCTTCGGTTTCAACCCTTGTGTCTTGTGCAGCATCTTGTAGGTAAGCTGAGACAGCGTGGGATGGACGGGTGGGCAGTGAGCTGTTGAAAACTGCTGGCTGGTGGAGCTCCTAGCAGCTCGTACTGCTTACTCTTGTCCATCAGACGTAACTTTCAGCCAGTACCTGCATTCCCAAGCGATCCACAAAGATGGCATTTGTCCCGTGGCTTTTCCCTTGTCATCTTTGCTGCATTGTGCAAGCTCACAGACCTGTTCCTTCTCTCTCCTCTATCCGCTCCCTTGGTGCAGCTTTCGCTCGTGGAAGCACAGAGCAAAGTGACAAGAAACAGCTGCGAGTTCAAGGAATTGTCTACCTTGTTCTGATCTCCTGCCAGGTACGTGCCACGCTTTGTCCCCCCACGTGGTTGACCAGCACTGTGTCGCACCATGTTTGGTAACACAGCCTCACCCAGCGTTGATGGGACACTGGTCCCGTGTGGGTTTTTTCCCTTCCCCTGCAGCTCCGCCCTCAGGAGGATGCTGTGTGTGGTGCTGTGACCAGCTGGTCTGAAGGAAAGCAATCCCTTAGGCAAAGAGTCCTAGGCCCAGTTTGTGCTGAGCTGCACAGCGTGACCCAAGGTCACAAGCACGCACGCTTGGCCTGTGAGAGTGTGCGCGGCAGCTGTAGGGAGCACAGCAGAGATGCGAGCAGAGGAAATCCTTGATGTGCGGGGCTGCAGCAGGTGCCGGTGGTGAGGCTGCTGGGAGCCGGGGCCGGGGAGCAGATGCACCTGCAGCAATGATTCCTCTCACTGCCCTGCTGCTGCGCTGTCAGAGCGCCCTGGGCGAATGCATCTGCTGCTTTGTGCCAGTCCCCATCTGCTAGCAGAGGGACAGCCGCTTGGTCAAATGCTGCCTAATGGGCTGTCCCATTTGAACGGAGTGAACAGAGTGGTTGCTTCTAGAGCACCCGCCTGTGCCAGAGGATAGCCAAGGGTAGTTCTGAAGAAGTCTCTCAATAGTGTGGTGTGTGAAGAGAGAAAATATGAGCGTGTTTCTTTTCATTCCAGCTTGTCGTGCCTGCTGTGATGGGCATCGCGTGCAGCGAGATCAGCTGTGAGCCTGGCATGACACGGATGGAGGTAGAGTGTGGAGCTCTGATTGGTCTTTGTTCCCTGACTTGAGCCAGCAGAGTGAGCTGCAGATGTGCTCTCCTGCTTTTCAAGAGAGCGAATCCTTGCGGCTCTATCGGTGTCACTGAAAAGCTGCCTTCAAGGCTTTCTTTCCTTGCTGCGGGCATGTTCTTAGCCTTGCCGTTCCTTCTTGTGTGCCCATGATAAGGACGGAGTGCACTTCCTGCAGCTTTCTCTGCTGACATGCTCCTCAGCCTGAAATCCTCCTCGTTTGCCCTCAGCTCCTCACCGTGGCCTGTGCTCTCTGTTTCAGGCTGAGAACAACGGGAAGCCCCTGCTGGTCCGTGAGGAGTCATCTCTTAATATCCCAGCTATTGCTGCTGCCCACGTTATTAAGAGATACGTTGCCCAGGCACCGGGTGAACTCTCCTTGGAGGTAAGCAGTTAAGGGCGTTCCTTGTTGTCCTGTACAGAAGAGTATAACGTGTGAAGCTATCAGGAATATTCTCAGACACCTTCCGAATGTTTGGTGAGGTGAAGCTCAGAAGGTGCGGCTCCAGATTAGACTTGCACTGGGTTGGATGCAGGGAGGAGTTCAGCCATCTCTGAACTATGGCTCTATTTGGCATTGGAATCTTGTGATCCAAGAGCTACTGCCCGGTGTGGTAGCCTGGTCTCTGAGCAATGGCAGAGCAGTGTATGGAGTGTGCAGATCTGTTCAGGATCTGTTTGGCTGACTTATGCCTGCGGTTTAATTGGAGCTCTCCCTTTGGCAAAGAGCCTGCTGCTTCTGAGAACCATTTCATACTGAACAGCTGAATTCTGTATGTTGTGTATTGGAGTGACTCTTCTACTTGCACGTTCAGTTGTACGACTGCAAATGCCTGAAGAGCTGCACTGGTGCAATGGCTCTCAAGCTTGACGATATTGGGCAGTGCAGAAGAATGCAGTCATTTGAGCTGCGCTTTCCTCCCAGCCGTGCCGAAGCTGGGATTGACGTTGCAATCTCTTGCAGGTGGGAGACCTCGTGTGCGTCATCGAGATGCCGCCTCAGGAGCTGAGCCCCCGCTGGAGAGGCAAGCACGGCTTTCAGGTAGGCCCAAGCTTCAGACGTGAGAGCGCAACTTCGGTCGAGGCAGGAATCTCAGCTTAGAGCTGCCCTGCCTGCACAGCATGGCTCCACATGGAAAATGGTTTCCTTGTGCTGGTGTCAGAGGACTTTCCCTTTTGCTGTGGGCTTAGGCCAGAGCTGAAAGTTGGTCTTTGTAGGAAACTGCCTCCTCAGTTAACTTAGAAAGAAGAGCCCTCACAGCGTGCATCAGGTCACGGCCACTGAACCGCACCTTTGGAAATGCAGCAGCTAGGACACGTGTTTCAGTGTCTCTGAGCACTTGTGCTTGCACCCATGCAGAAGGTGAAGTCAGCGTCTTTTAGGAAGTCGCTGCCTGTCAGCTGAGATGAGGCAGGGTAACAGAGCCTCTGCGCGCTTGCTGCTGCTGCTGCTGGCTGCAGAACGCTGGGTAGCTCAGAGCTGGGGATGGCAGCTGCATCTCAGTCAGCAAGCAGAAAGTTCATAGGCTGTGCCAACTCAGATCTAGCTGCATCAATCTATCATAATATGTAGCTTCTGTATGAAGTCTTTCCCTTCGGGCACGCTTGAGATTTAGGGGTGCATAGCATACTTGTCCTTTCCCCGCTCCATACACAGTTTTATGGATATTTGCCTGCCAATTTGGAATAATTATTAATTTTAAGCAGGCCATTTTTTGGTTGGATTGTCTTACGGAGCATCCGGCAGGCACGTGATGAGGAAAAGGTGATGTTTGAACAGTTCAGGCCTGAGAAACGCTGCCTTCAGTATTGCACGTCTCTTCTTCCTCTTGTTACAGGTTGGATTTTTCCCTGGTGAGTGTGTGGAGCTCATTAACGGAAAAATCCCGGAGTCTCTCATCAATTCAGTGCCAAAGCCAGGTACGATGATACATTTGATGGTGCAGGGAAGCAAAATGGAGTCTTTTTTGGGTGTGTTCCATGTTTAATACCTCCCTTATCCTTCCCCCCTTATCCTCTGTGCTGATAATCCTTCCTGCATAGCACGGGGCGTATGGCTGGTGTTTTGTAGGCAGTGAGAATGAGGGAAGGCCAAGGCAGTTCTCCGGCAAGTCCGTACGAGGCTGAGAACAGCCAGCGTCCCTGGTGGACAGATAGAGGTCTGGTTGTGCTAGTGACACGCTTGATCAGAACGTGGCTTTTCAAGAGGGTCCTTAATGCCCAGGTTGAGCAAGCTAAGCAAGAGGAGTGCATTCAACTCCATCAGAACGTGCAGAGATTTGGCCCAGTCCTGCTGTGTTTTATGACTGGAGTTGGGGAAATCCTAGAATCCTTGTAGAATGGCTTGGCGTGGAAGGGAGCTCGAGGATCATCAAGCTCCAAGCCCCCTTGCCTCAAGCTGGGCTGCCAACCAAGCTCCACGTTTAAAGTGGGACTGGACCAGGCTGCCCAGGGCCCCATCCAGTCTGGCCTTGGACTCATCCAGGGTTGGGGAAAATCCATTTTGGTACGCACTTGCTCATCATGTTCTTCCCGTTTTGAGGTGCTCTGTAGAATGTGTTGTGCTCGGCCTCGTCCAACGGAGCCAAACCTGAGATGAACTGGTTTCTTCCTTTTGTTGTGCAGTGCCAAAGAAGCGCGGCAAGCTCCTCACCTTCCTTCGTTCCGTGGTGAAGGCCCGCCCAAAGCAACGGAAAGAGCGGGAGGTGGAGAAGGAGAGGGTGTTCGGCCGTGACCTGGGAGAGCATCTTCTTCACTCTGGTCGTGATGGTAAGGGACAGCCCATTCCTGAGAGCTTCCCTGTTTGAGAACCTAACGATGAAAGGGAGATGGTATGTAGCAAGGGGCAGCTTGATACCAGTGGAGAAACGGGGAATGGGAGTTGATGGCTGAAAGATGAAGTGAGGCTAATGCTCCCAAGAGACAAGCACGTTTGTATTTGCTTCAGCCAAGCCCGGCTGGGCTTAGTGGATGGGATGTGACGGGAGCGCAGCCTGAGGCAGGACTTGACTAAGGAGCTCCAGTAACCGCCGGCACGTGTTCTTTAGTCCCCCAGGTCCTCCAGAGCTGCGCCGAGTTCATCGAGCAGCATGGCGTGGTGCAGGGGATATACCGCCTGTCCGGCGTGGCGTCCAACGTCCAGAGACTGCGGTAAGAGTGCTGCGACTGACAGACACAGCTGCCAGCAGGGGCACGTGCCCTGTTGCGGGCGTTCAGAGGCCTGCGGGCAATGCCTTAGCACAGAGAAAAGGTCTCCTTTGGGAACATCCCATCCAGCACGGCTGACGTGGTGCTGGTGGCCGAGTGTTTGTGTTCTCCTGTACATCAGGAAGCCCTTCTGATTCTTGATTGCATTGGGTGTGGCTTTTGACTTGCTTTCCTCTTTCTCAACCGCTTTCGTGTCCTTCTCTGCAGCCAGGAATTTGAGTGTGAGCAGGTTCCTGAGCTAACCGTCCGCGACGTTCACAGCGCGAGCTCCCTCTGCAAAATGTACTTCAGGGAGCTCCCGACCCCCCTGCTGACCGACCAGCTGTACGACAAGTTCTCGGTAAGCACGAGGCAACGCCTTTCCTTTCCCTCTTCGCTGGGCCTCTTGGGAGATGGCTGCAGCAGTGCCCCAGCTCTGAGGCCCTTCTTCTGTTAGCCCCATGGGGTTTACTCGCATGTCTTTGCCACATCCTGCATCGTGCTGATGCCACTTCTGGTGGCCCCAGGAGGTGGTTATTTCCATATTCACAGTGCTTGCGAGAATTCCTGTGTTGTTTGTTTGTTTTTTGCTATTCCCCAGCTATTTCTGGAACAGGAAGGGGATTAATAGCCAAGCGTACTTGGAGATGAATGCCCCCTGCGAGGAGCTGAGCTGCCCAACCAGGCTGTAAACCGGCCCGGTGCTTGGACTCCTTGGCCTTGGTGGCACCAGCTGCGTGCCGCTATGTTTGCCAGATGCCTCTGGGGAGGCCTAAAATCTTTCTCAGTGCTGACCAGCAGCGCGCTGTGCCCATGGTTCCCGACCCTGCGGCAGGTATCTCGCCTGATTTGTGTCTCAATCCCTTTCTGCCCTTTTCCAGGATGCTGTTGGTGCCACTACGGAGGAGGAGCGGCTGGTCAGAATGCGGGACACCATCCAGCAGCTGCCCGCTCCTCACTACAGGTCAGTGCTGCCCTCAGCCTGCTGAGCTCAGCCCTGCTGCACTTCAGAGGGCAATGGTGCGATTCCAGGCTTTGTCTCACGTGAGCAACACGATGCCTGGGTATGTTGAAGCGGTTGAAGGCTGCACCGGTTTAATTTACAGGGTTAATTTATTGGGTCAGTTCCTGGGCACGGGGGTAGGCTTGGTGCAGCTGATGGCTGTGGCTGTGCTGTGCTGGTGCTGGGTGCTGCAGCGTGGCACTTGGTCAAGTTGGGTCTACTTCATCTTCAGCATCAGTAGCAGTAATAACAACTAGTGTGAATTGAGGTTTGCTTTGTGAGTGGCAGCACGGCATGCTGGCTGGTGCTGAACATTTGCCTCTCTTGTTTCCCAGGACCCTGGCGTTCCTGATGAGACACTTGGCCTGTCTTGCTGCGAACAGCTCTGTCACCAACATGCACTCTAAGAACTTAGCCATTGTGTGGGCTCCAAACCTCCTAAGGTAAACTTCTTTTTCCGTTTCAACAGAACGCTTACATCTGTTCTCCAGTAGAATAAAGCAGTCCTCCCTTCTTCTGCACCACATGTGCTCTTCTCCTGTAAAATGTGCAGTGAGTGGCTGACAGCAGAGCAGGAGCCTGGACTGTTCTCCAACCCCGCGTGGGCACAATTTCTAGCTGAGCATTGCTGCTCTCTTGTTTAGATGGGACTGGTGTGTCCTTGATCAGCCAGGAGAACTTTTTCAGTGGCATCACTGATTGCCCACTGCGGAAGTCTCTTGAGCCCAGTTTGATAGCTTTGGGCTGCAGTAATTCAGACCCGGGGAAGCAATCGTGGCTGAATGACTTCTAAAACCTGCCTTTTCTACAGATCACAGCAGAGCGAGTCTGCCTGCGCCAGCGGGAGAGGTGCCTGCACGGAACTGCAGACGCAGTCGGCTGTGGTGGAATTCATCATCGACCACACAGACGTCCTCTTCTGCTCCACATCTGGACCTGACATCGCAGATGGAGCAGGTGAGTGTCTTCCTCCATTAGCTTTGTCTTGGTCAGACACCTGGATCAAACACAGGCTTTCTCCAACTTTTTTGAAATACACTTTTACTATCGAGGGGACAGCAGACTTCTGGGCTTAGATTGGAATCTGGCGTCCAGTTGCTGGATGCTGAGAATGTGCAAGCCCAAACTTGACCAGGAGAAAACTGTCACCGTCATTATGATGTTTTGCAAGCAGGTGAAGCTTGATTAACGTGTGGCAGCGAAGCTTTCTCAGTTCCCTGCCCCCATTTTCTAGGGATTTTGTTTGCCTGTTTTGATACAGGGAGCTGCTCCTAATTATGACTGCGTCCTTTGCCATAGACACACCTCTGAGCACATGGTTGTTTTGAGCTGCTCTTCTTCCAGTGGCTCGGTTAAGCAAGTCTGAGGAAAACACAGCAGCTCCCCCGGACCTGCGATGGCTGTGCTGCCGCTTTCTGATCCTGGCTCTCACCTGTGGTTTTCCCTTCCAGGGCACAGTTCTCTCTCAGGGCCCCAGTCTGTGCGGGCCTCTTCTGCCACAGAGCTGCTCAGCCTGGAGGAGGCGCAGGCACGGAGGCGAGGCCACAGCAGCTCTCCTGTCGTTGTGACACAGAGCAGGGACGTGGAAGTGGAAGAAGGCCCCACAGCTGTACGGGAGAAATTCCACACAGTCATTGACTTTCCATCTGAAAGGTAAAGAGGACTTCCTTTTCCAGTACCTTATCATCATTGTTTGGGTGGGTTTTTGTGGTTTCTTTTTGTGCTTTCCCCCCCCCCCTCCATTATTTCTAGTGCCAAAGCTTGCTGAAACTCAGTTAAACTGATGGTGCCTGAAGTGTTGCAGTGAATCTCCACTCCCTTTGCACTGTGAGACAGAACTCACATTCAGTTGCCCGCCGGGCTGAGTTTAGCCACACAAGGCTGGCATTCCCTCCTTGCTGGGCAGGCAGTCACGAGATGCATAAAGCCACGCTGACGTCTGTCCTGGCCTGTGCTGGCTGTACCTGGAAACGTTGGGGTTTTCCGGACTTCAGGGCCACGTGCTTGAATCCAATTCCGATTCTCCTGGAAGCAGAGCTGTTGTTCAGACCTGCTGGCACGAGAAACTAGACATGGCAGTGAGATGGGGCCGATGAGCTGTCAGTGTCAGAGTCAGAGATGCTTTTGGAGTTCCATGCACAACTCACACCATTCCCTGTTTCCTCTCTCCAGACCAAGTCCACCCAGCAGGATGAAGGAATCACCAGCTGGCTGTTGGTGTTCCTGCTTCAGCCTGGGAAAACCATCCTCCGTGGCCAAACGCCAACTGCAGCGCCGTCCCAGGGAGCCCTCAGAGACAGACATTGTAGTCCTGGCAGGTAAGGGTGCAAATCCTGCTTTCAACACCCTGCTTCTCAGCAACGTAGAATTCTTGCTGTCAGTGGGCTTGTATCTCCTTCTAGCATTCCAGCCCATACCTGACACCTTCAGTTCTCCCCTGATCAAGAACCACTTTTGTAATTCAGCTTGTGAGAGTTGGACACCAACCCCTGTTCATTCTTTTCTAGGTGATTCGAGCTCTTGTCAACCCAGATGTCCCAGAGCAAGTAGCGATGCTGGGCTGTGTGCTTCCACCAATGGAGAGCTCTTGGGAAGCACAAATGGCTGCGGTTCAGCTGACAGCCTGCCGCATAACAACAGTGGCGGACACAAGGAGCTCATCCAAGTCCAAGCCCTCGTTTCTCCCAGCTCTGCTGAAGATGCTGACCTGAGCCTGTCACACACCACAGGCACCAGCCTGGACTGTGACCCAGTGCCTCTGCAGTGCAGCCCAGCCCAAGCACAGCCTGAGTGCCCTGACAGCAGCACCTCTGTGCAGGAGCAGGTCAGCAACAGCGAGGAGAAGCCGTGCCCCTTGGAGGGGGACTTAGAATCAGGCCTCCAGTCCCAGGCACCGTGCAGCGGCTCTGAGAGCTCTGAGCCGCTCTCTCCGTGACCTTTCCATCCAAGAGAGGACGATTCCCATCTTTACCTGGACCTCTCACGCCCTCCTGTCTTTTCCTTTAATAATAAAAGCACGCTTGTGCTCACTCAACGCCTTGACTGCCTGTGGAGTCTTCGTTCCCAGGGACTGGGATGAATGCAACAAACAATGAGGCACCTCAGCTTGCAACGCTGAGGCTGTGGGGTGCACGAAGCAGAGCTCTGGGTTAGTTCCCGTTTTGTCTGGCTTTGGGGTGTCTGCAGCTCCCATTTGGTATGGTAGCAAATAATCTCTAGCATCCTGGATGCTGCTCGTGATAACCCCATGCTTCCTGGCGGTGGCTTTGTGATGCCTTTCAGGGCTTTCGGATGCCTTGTGATGCCTTGGCTGCTCCCTAACACCTCTCTCCTCTGGCTGCGTCCATTCCTGGCTCCCAACCTGTGAGCTGCCTGTGCAGATCATCTGCAACCCTGTCATCATCATGCTGCGGCAGGACGAGCTCACTCAGACCCGGCGTCTCATTGCTCAGCGTCAGCGCTGTCCCGCCCCTGGCAGCCTCTCATTGGTCAGCGTCAGCGCTGTCCGGCCCCCCACGAGCCTCTCATTGGTCAGTGGTAGGGCTGTCCCGCCCCTGGCAGCCTCTCATTGGTCGGCGGCACTGCTGTCCCATCCCCGCCAGCCTCTCATTGGTTAGCGGCAGCGCTGCTTCCTCCCCCGGGGTCTCCTTGATTCGCAGTAGCTCCGCCGGCTGCGATTGGCTGAGCCGCCGTGCACGGGAGCGGTCGTTGGGGGCCGGCTGTTGGAGGAGAGGCAGGGCTGTTGCTGTCCGGGCAGCAGCGAGATGGAAGCTGCAGCACAACAGGAGCGAGTGCTGAGGGCAGCTCCGCCAGAGATTTGTGGGAGAGCAGTCCTGGGACAGGGAGAGGAGCCCTGCGCGGCCCCAAGCAAGGGGAGATGGCCATAAAGTGGAGCACAGGAAGTTCCGCCCATGGATGAGAAGGGAGTTCTTCACAGTGAGAGTGGCGCAGCTCTGGAACAGGCTGCCCAGGGAGGCTGTGGCTTCTCCTTGTCTGGAGATATTCGAGAACCGCCCGGACACCCACCTGCGCAGCCTGCTGTAGGAGCCCGTTTTGCAGGGGGGTTGGACTCGGTGATCCCTGGAGGTCCTTCCGAGCCCAGTTCTGTGATTCTGTGATTTTAATCCTTGCTTCTTGCAGCAGTATGGTGTTTGGTGTTTCAGAAGAGAGAAAAGCATGGCGGGCATCAGCTGGATTTCTGTGGCTGGTAAAGCTGTGCCGAGAACTGGGCTGACTGCTGCCCCTGGAAACATGCGCAAAGTCTGCAGAGGCAGAGGAATGACTTTTCTCTCAAAAGTTGAGCTTGTCTAAGGTAACTCACTGGTGGGAGAGCTTCTGCTTTAAAGCATCAGGTTGTATAAGTAAGGTAATTTAAAAAGCAAGCTTGACAGTTCTTTTTTACCTAAGTGGTTTTTTAGCAGGGGAAGGTTGGAGAGGCTTTTTGCTAACGGAAGATGGAGAGAGGAGAAGCAAGTGAAAGGCACGCTGTGCATATCTGCTGCATACCATCTGCACCGCTCTCCCCCTTTTGAGAGGTAGGTTGTGTTTTTGCAGTGGAAGTTTCCAGTAGTTCTGTATGTAGCATAGGATAATTTGCCTTTCACAAAGAAAGCTGCTGAACAGCTCTAGGATTGCAGTTGAAAACTTGTGAAACAGGTATAAAGGTGTCAATGAATCTATTAATAACTGCTAATGAAAAAGAAATAAATCCAAAGGTGCGAGCAGGGGAAGGAAACTGGGTGGACTCGGAATTACTTCCTTAACAATAACTGTCCAAGGAGGGAGTGAAGCTGCAAAACAGGGACAGTTATCCCCCCATGCCTTTAGAAAGGATAATGGGTCTGAAGGCTGTAATACAAACATTGGTTAAGATGGTCTTCTGGGACTCTGTGTCACCCTATAACACTCCAGTTTTGCCATTACAGAAGGCAGATGGCACCTATCAACTGATACAAGATCCAAGCAAAATTAATGACATAGTTCTCAAGTGACCCCCCTGCTTCCTAACCCCTATACTTTAATGAGTCAAATCCCACACAGACACAAATGGCTCAGTGTAACAGACCTCAAAGATGCTTTCGGGACCTGCATTTTAGACTCAGAGAGTCGAGATCTTTTTGCCGTTGTACGAGAGGATCCAAAAATGCAACAAAAATAGCAAGATAGGTGGATTGCTTTACCCCAAGGGTACATAGAATCGCCTAATTTATTTTTATTATATTTTATGTATTATATTATTATAAATATTGTATATTGTATTATTACGTATTATTTTACATACATTATATATTTTATATTTTATTTTTGTTTTAACTAAGTAAGTGCTGGAGAAAGTTTTGGAAAAGTTTCAGGTTGAAGAGGAGGTGAAGCTGTTTCAGTATGTAGATGATTTTCTGATTTGTGGAAAAGAGGAGTCTAAAGTAAGAGACTAAGTAAAACTCTGAATTTCTTGGGAATAGGGGCTAGGGCTGTTTGAACTGTAGTATGTGGAAAAAGAAGTCAGATACCTTGGGCATGTGATTTCTGAAGGGAAATGGAGAGTTCTGAAGGAATTCAGGGCACTGTGCAGCTTCATTTGCCCAGGACAAAGAGGGAGGGGCAAAAGTTTCTAGGTTTGATTGCATTCTGTATTTTGTGAATAGAAGAATATGTACAAGAAACAAAGATTGTACCTCCAACTATCACAGGGAGAACGCAACATATTAAAATGGACAAAAGAGGGAAAAGAATTAGTAGAAGTATTGAAACAGGACTTAACCACAGCACCTGTGTTAGAACTGCCTGCCTTAAAGGAACCATTTCACCTTTTGATAACTGTCAGTGAAAGAGCTGTTTTAGGCATTCTAACACAAGAATAGGGAGACAAAAGAAAACCTATTCATAGTTGTTCAAGGTATTAGACCCTGTATCTCAGGGTTGGCCTGAACGTGTGGGTGTGTCCAGGTGGTATCAGCAACTGCCTTACTGGTAGAAGAGAGTGTGCGTGTACACTTTGGGAGTGTAAGGAGCAAGTTGTTGACAATACGTGTTCCCCCCCTACCCTTCCATGAAGAGATTGCTCCACATTTTGAGGCATGATGGTTACAAAAAAAAAAAAAAAAAAAAAAAAAAAAGAGCAGGAATCTGCTGCTCAATCTCTTAAAAAAGCATAGTGCCAAACTCTCCCCCGTGGAGATGAAATGGGCGTGGAATAATTGGTCCAACTTAGAGGGAGTCATGGGTCATATTAAATTCCCTCCATAAGCAAATTTGTATGGGGGAGGAAAAGGGAATATCAATCATTTGTGCAGTTCCAGGAGCTGCTCTTAGTGCTGCCATAGAGATCCGCAATGAACAGCACATGGTAGAAACCCAAATTATAAAGTCCTTGCAGGAATTGGTGACATACCTGCAGTACCAAGTAGAAGATCTTAGGGGACAGAAAAAGAAGAACATTCAAAAGGCCTCCCTCAGCAAGCCCTTAGAGAACAGTTGGTAAATGACAGGGAGATAGATGCTAGATCCCCAAGTAGTGACTTTCCTCCAGGAGAAAATCTTGAGGATGTGAGAGCCCAAAAAGACAAGTTGGGAAACCTGTGATCCTTCTCTGCCTTTAGATAGAAACTGGGCGTGCATGGGAAGAGACTGGCAGTGGGTATTCTGATGTTCATACTGACGAGGTTCCCTGTTTGCTACGGAGCCGGCCAAAGTAAGGAAGGATTTTGGTGACACCCTTAGGAAATCAGTATGTGTGGAAAGTGCCATTAACAGAGGGAGGTCAGATCTTGCTGACTGAAAAGGAATCAGAGGGTTATTGAGGACCTGGAATATTTTTCACCACGGGCAACCACTGCCAGTGGTCCCTTACTCCAAGCGCTGCTTATTGGGATGATTACTCCCCAGGACAACTGCTGTTGATTGATTTGCCCCACCGTGGTCCTGTCCCTTTAACCCTCAGGGAGACTCTTCACAAATACTTGTGGAAGCCTCAATATGATCAGGAGGAACTGTACAAAATTAACCGTCTGGATTTCACCTCCCTTCTAACTTTGGTTCATTTAGGACCAGGAAGTCTTATTTCTGTTTTGTTTTCTTTTCCAGTTTTGCTTCTTCTAACCTTGGCTCCTTTGGAACCAGGAAGTTCTCTCTTGTTTTCCAGATGCTAACGAATGCTGATACGGTTGTTGTAGCTCACATGTTCCCTTCTCACTCTGCTCCTTTCTCTGGGATCCCCGTGGTATCATTGGTGTTACTGTTTTGGACAGGAATCTTCTTCAGATTAATTTTTGTAATTGCTTATGATGACCTTAACACAGTCACTGGCTGGTCACGGTCCCATGCCCATATTGGCAGTACTGGGCATTTAGTTAGTTTTACTTATGATCCTGTCACTAACTCTCCCGCAGCTTTTGTCCTAATACACAATGCTTCGGTACATACCATACACTTAATCATTGTGCTGGGACTGAATCACAATGGAGTTTTTTTGTTTATTTTTTTCCCTGCAGAGGAGAAAGAATCACAAATGCTTGTGGAGAAAAAAGACTCAGGGATTTCTTCTTTCTTGCTAGCAGATCTTGATGCTCTCCTCTTCCTGCCAGTGGGCTGCGTGTCATGCCATAGTCCTGCAGTCTCCAGAAGTGACCCCACGTGCTACCAAAACAGATCACAGACCTGGATTCAGGCGTTCCTCATTCTCCCACTGCACAAGTTGTCACAGAGCAGCGTGCTCCTCAAACGTGGTCATTTTGTGAGGTTACGCAGTGTTTGTGTACTTATGTAGGAATGGAATGTTGTTTCTGCATTAGAACTAAAGTGTGAGTATTTGACGTCATTGTCTCTGCTCCAGTCTTGTGTTGTTTGTTTACTACTACTATTTAGTACTTAGTACTACTAAGTACTAACAGCTCTTTTTGGGAGTGTTTTTATTTCATCAGGAGTCTCTGAGGGTCTCCTTCACTTGCCTGTTAGATGAATTTTCCACATTGGTGCTTGCTCAGTAGGTAGATGGAGTAATGAATGTATCGGTACAAGGACTGCCGCTGTTATCTGTCCAGCCATCTGGAATACCTCTGAGCCTTGAGTTCCAGACAACATAGACATCACGCTCCTAAACATTACGATAATGCCTTTAGAAATCCCAAACCCTTGACAATGATATCAGTAGGCTCATTATGTTGCAAGACTACTGATTTTTGATGCTGGTCAGACAGGACCTCAGTGATGATAGAAAATTTAAGCAGGAGAATGTAAGCCATTAGCAATAGATAAACATTTAGCTAGCATCAGTTTCTATTTAGCCAGTATGCCCGTGTACAATTAAGCATCGGGAAGGTTTGTGAACCTGAAATACTCAGGCAATGAGGAATCGGGAAAAGATGAGCATCAAGGTAATAGGGCATGTTCTTTGCTTTGTAATAGGGTTTTGTTTGCTTTTCATTCAGTATCATTTCTTACCATTACGCAGTGTTTGTCTTGTCTTGTTTTTCATGTTGCCAATCAACATTTCATTGGAGCTTGGGTGACCCGAATGCATACAACTAAGTGTTGACCAAGTGTGATGTGAAATGAAGAGGTAGGCTCCAAAACAGGCTTCTAGTGAGTGCTGTGTACGACATGGAGTATTGAGAACTACCCTCTGTTTCTCCCTGCCCCATGTTGTTCAGTACCAGACGTGAAGGTTTCTTCTTTCCTTCTAGGATTGGAGACTCCACTATCAGATGGCGTTGGCCTTTCAAGCCTCCCCGGGTTGTAGCGCTGGTTGTGCCCTGATCCTTGGAAAGGGGAACTGATTCCTTCATCATTACCTGATGGTGACGTCTACTTATCTTGTGTCCAGTGAGCAGTGGTGGAAAAACTGTGGCTCTCCTGAGCGGTGCAAGGACTCTACTGAGGCTCATTGTGTTTATAGTAGAAAACTACAGCCATAGATGGATGCCAATATCCACTCCTTACTCTGTCTGGCAAGCTGTGTTGATCTCTGAAGTTGCTCCCACACCTGTAGTTGTTCTTTGGGCTCGGCATCAGTTGTCTCTTGCACTCACGTGGCTTTCACCTGGTATTCTTTCTTTTCCCCCATCTTTAGGGCTCCCAAGTACTGCTGTGATGTCTGTGCCTTCTGTCGCTCCCACCAAACATGGGTTTGTTCTTTTTAGGTTCAATATCATTTATTGACATTATGCAATGTTTCTCATTTTTCTTGTGTTTCATGTTGCCAATCTACGCCTAGTTGGAGCTACAGCGAGCCCAAATGCTGACTGCTCTGCTTTGACCAAGTGAGATGCAAAAAGAAGAGGTAGGTTGCAAAACAGGCTTCTAGTGCATGCCATGTAAGACTTGGGGTATCCAGAGTTAACTTCTTGTCTTTCTCCTTTTCCAGTTCCCTTTGATTTTTTCCCCCTTTTTATAATTTATTTTCATTTCCTAATCCACTTTCTAATTCTACTTCTTTTCTTTTTTCCAATTCCTTTTCCAATTCCTTTTCCAATTCCTTTTCCAATTCCTTTTCCGAATAGTTTTCTGCTTCATTTTTTTCTTTTTACCTTTTTCTTTTCTCTCCTTGTTCTTTTATTTCCTTTTCTTTCTCTTTCTAATTTATTTTCTTAAGACTTTTTCAAATTCTTTTTTGTTTTGAATTTTTTCTATTTCTTTCTAATTCTTTCTTTTTCTTTTGATAATTCTGTTTCCAATTGTTTTTCTTTTTCATGTTCCTTTTCTTAGTCATATTCCTTTCCGTTTTTTATTTTCTTCAACATATTCCAATTCTCATTCCAATTCTTTTTCCTTTATTAATTATTTTTCCATTCCCTTTTCTAAATCTTTCTCTCTTTCTAAATCTGTTTCTTCTTTCCTGTTTCTAATTGTGAGAATCCTTTGTTTTTTGGCTCAAAGCTTGCTTCCTGAGGTTTTTCTTGTGATAAGACTCTCAATGATTTGTTAAGGAGGCAAGTGATGGGTGCTAACCGTGTGACAATCGACATCACTTTGGGAACATTTGAGAGCCCCTTCCTCCAGAGCTGCTTGCCTCCAGAATAGAGTGCTCAGGAGTGTTCACTGGCGGAAGATCTGGCCTGTGACTAAACAGCTCCAGCTTGGTATGGGAAAATTGGGGAATGATATCATCGTGTTCTGTGAAAAACAAGATGCAGAAGGGCATCCCTGCTCCCTCTTGTCTGCTGGCAAGGCCCAGAAGATGGGAACAGAGGAGTTTCTGCTGAGATCCCAGAGCCAGAAGCTGCCGCTCCAAGGAGAGCTGACTCAACCACATTGGATTTGAGCTGTCACTCCAAAGACAGCTGACTTGACCACTTTGAAACTATTGAAAAGGGGCCGTCATCGCCATGGTCATGGCCGTCGTTCTCATCATTCTCCTCGTCGTCAACAGAACAATGCCTGACGACCCACCACTACTGAAGATCAAAGACTGAATTACAAACCACACTGGATCCATGGTGGTGACTGTCTCCCTCTTACTTCCTATAAAGACTCCTTGCTTCTTCTTTCCTATCTTTCCTATTGCCCTCCTTCCCTTCCCCATTACCCTAATTCATAATAGCATCCGTCCTCCCCTTCCCCATTTCCCTAATTACAATTTGTAATAAATTGGTCGGACCAACATTTGAACCATTGTTACTTAATCTCACGCTGGGTATATAGATAATAAAAGAACCTCCTCTCCCTCCTATAAATTGGAGCAAGACACTAATCTGCTTTGTTTTTCTAATTTTTTTTCCTAATTCTTTTCCTATTTCTTTTTCCTGTTGCAAGTCTTTCTTTTCATTGCAAGTCTTTTTCCTTTTTCTATTTATTTTTTTTTCTTTTTTGAATCCCAATTCTTTTTCAAGTTGTAGTTCTTGTGTTCTCTTTCTGGATCATTTTCTATTTTTTTTTTTCCTAATTCTTTATCTAATTCGAACTATTTGTCTAATTCTTTTTCTATTTTTTTCTTTTTCCAATTCCTTTTTGTTTCCTTTTTCCATTTCTCATTCTAATTTTAATTCTTCTTCTTTTAAAAAAAATATATATATATATACTTTTTGGTCTTTCTAATACTTTTTGTTTTCTAATTTTCTTTTTCCTTTTCTAATGATTTCTCAAATTCTTTTTCTAATTCTTTTTCTGCTCCTTGTTTTTCTTTTTCTAATTCTAATTCTTTTTCCAAGCCTTTTTTGTGGTCCTTTTCCCAGTCTAAGTCTTTCTTTTTTCTATTTCAATTTTTTTCTAACTCCAACTCTTTTTCTAATTGTAGTACTTTTTCTTTTCCCTGTTCAATATCTTTTCCCTGTTCCATGTCCTTTTCATTTTTCTGTTTCAGTTTTTTTTTTACGTTTTCCAATTTTTTCTAATTTTTTTAAATTAATTTTTTAATTCATTTTCTATTTTTTTCTGTTCTTTTTGATTGTTTCTTTTTTTTTCAGATTCTAAATATTTTTCTACTTTTCATTGTAAAACTTGATATCTTTCTATTTTTTCTTTATATTTTTCCTTTTTCTAATTCATTTTATTTTTCTCAATCTTTTTCCACCTCTTTTTCTGTTTCCAGGTTTTTCTTTTTGCAGTTTTTTCCTTTTCCAATTATCGTTCTAATTCTTCTCCTTTTTCTTTATCCATTGGTTTTTCTTTTCTAATTCCTTTTCATATCCATTCTCTTGCTCTAGTGCTTTTGTTTCCTTTCTCTTCTTTTTCATTTTCCAATTCTTTTTCCAGGTCTGTTTCCATTTCCAGTTCTCTTTCCAATTTTTCATCTATTTTTTTCCATTTTTTCTTTTCTCAATTCCTTTTTATACAATTCCTTTTCTTTTTCCAATTCCTTTTCTTTTCATCTTCTTTTCCATATTCTTGTTTTTCCTCTCTCTAATTATTTTTCTAATTCTTCTTCTATTTTTTCTAATTATTCTCTTTTTTCTTATTATTTTTCATTGTTCTATTTCTAATTCTTTTTCTAGACTTTTTTCTCACTTTTTCATTTTCCTTTATTTTTTCACTTTTTTTTGTCTTTCTAGTTCCTTTTCCAATTCCTTTTCTAATATTTTTTTCTAATTCTTTCTCATTTCCCATTTTTTTCAGTTCCTTATCTTTTTCTTTTTCCAATTCTCATTCTAATCCTAATTTGTCTTCGTTTTTTCTTTTTCTAATTGTTTTTCTTTCATTTTCTAATTCTAATTATTTTCTTTCTTTTCTATTTCGAATTATTTTTATAATATTTTCTTCGCCTTTTTCTTCTCCCCTTTTCTTGTTTTTCTGTTTCTTACTCTTTTTGTCTTATTTCCTAATTCTTTTTCTAATTCTTTGTCATATTCTTTTGATTTTTTTCCTTTTCTAATATTTTTTTCCCTAATTGGTTTTCTTTTTCCTTTTTATTTTTGTAATTCTTTTTCTAATTCCAGTTCTTTTTCCTCTGCCTTTTCCAATTCTTCTTCTATTTCCAATTCGTTTTCTATTTATTTTCCCAATTCCAATTATTTTGTCTTTTCCTCACCTTTTTCCTGTCCTCATTGTATTTCAAATTCTTTTTTCTATTTCTAATAATGTTCCTTTTAATAATTCTAGCTATTTCTTTTTCTTTCTTTTTCTACATCTTTCTTTTCTCCTTTCCTTTTCCTTTTTTTCATTTTTATTCCCTTTTTTTGTTTCCGTTTTCCTTTTTTTTTCCATTTTACTTTTCCTTTTTTCTTTTCATTTTCATCTTCTGTGAACCTGAAGTGCTCAGGCAATGAGAAACCAGGGGAGGAGAAGATAAGAGTTGGATAATAGATCATAAGCGATGTCCCACTGATTCAGATTTCAGTGTTCCTGAAGAAAATACTACCAGTCTACAAGAGCCTTATCCAGCTGGGCTGCATTGCCAGATAACAAACCTGAATAAACCAAAGGACGCACGATGTTGTGGGTTTTCACTTGGGTTCCTTGTACTGTCCATGCGGATTCACAGTATTTTTGTACAGGCTTGTGGATCTTCACTGGGCTTTGCAGAAGTCCACCCTGGTTCACTGAAGACTTTGCAGGATCACTGGTCTTCACTGAGATTCCATGAAGTTCACGTGGTTTTGTAAGATTTTGCACAGCTTTGCTTCTGTTCACACTGGTTTCCCATATCTCCGCTTTGGTTCAGTCAAGTCTGCACAATTTTGCTGGCCTTTGCTGCGTTAAAGTTTCACTCCTTTACTTAGTCCCTGACAGTTTGCAGGTGGTATCTCAAATTCTCAGTCATCTAGTGCTGCTGCCACTTCCCCCACCTTTCCGGAGTATGAGCTTGCAATTAAATATCATCTACACATGGATACACATCCTAAGGCAGTGAAACTCTGTCAAAGTTCACTGAGGTGGCTTGAGCAATAGTGGGAGAATGTGTACACCCCTGTGGGAGTCAGCTAAAGGTATATCATATCCTCTCCTGTGTGAAAGCAGACTTTTCTTTATCCTCTTCCTGCAAGGAAACTGTTGTCATGGTTCTATGTTTTCTGTTTGTTTGTTTTTATTTTGGGTTTCAGTATTCCACATCAAAACATCATGTCGTGTACGGGGTATTAAAGTGTTAATGCCCAATCCCAGGTACCTATCCCTGTACATTACAGAAGTCACGGGATCTGGCCCTTCCAGGTGGGGGGGGGCGCTCTCTTGCTGCCTGGCAGTGGGTGCTGGAGGTGCTTTCCTAGCCGTTACAAGCTTTTCAGGTTTGAATCGGTCCCGGGAACTCTCTCTCTCATCTTGTCTGATTTATTAATCTCAATTTCAATTAAATTGTATATACTGTGTTATCTCGTATTCCAATATTATAGTAAAATAGGTTTTCCTCCATAGATTGTTGCCGCTGCTTTTTTTTTTCCTCCCTTCCTTCCTTCCCATTTTTTGTGGGACTGGGGTGGGGGGGGGGAGGGCAGAGGCCTGTCGCCCCTGTCACGGACATAGATTGATCTAGTCAACTCCGTGACAACTGTAAAGAGCAACTGCCATCCAAATAAGCTCCAAAGCCCATTTCACGTCATACTCCAGACCCAAACCATCAATATTTCACAGCAAACTCCAGGTTCACGTCCTTGCTAATTCACCCCAAACTGAGTTCCCAAAACCTCATTATTTCATTCCAAATGTCAGCACCAACACTCCCTGATGTCACCCCCCAGGGATGCTCCAGCATCAATCCCCCAGCATTACTCCTTCACATCACCCCCTTTCATCCCAACATCACCCACCAGTGCCAACCCAACAATGTCACCCTGGAGTCACTTCCTGATGTCACCCCTCACCATCACCACAATATCCACCCTCAGCATCACTCCAACATTGTCATTCCCCAGTGTCACCCCAACGCTCTCACCCCAGGATCAGTCATTCATGTTAAATCCTTGTGGTACTCCAACATCACTCCCAATGATGTCACCCTATCGTGCTACTCCCTGACATCTATCCTATTGATACCCCAACATCACTCCAACATAACCAGTGTCACTCTAAAATTTTAGATGATTCCATTAAGTGGGAAGCAGAATCTCCCTAAGCAAGTATGCTATTACTATCTGACCCTTGAGAGATGGCAAGCCACCGAAAAGGAGAGAGAAGGAACATGCCAGCAGTGGATTTGACCAGCATCACTAGCAGGGCATCCCCTGCTTCAAAGCACACTTCCACTCTTTCTCCCACTTTCATTCTCCCCAGGGTCTGTAGGGTTTGTTCCACTTGCATGCTGTACCCATATGGCCAGTGCGTGATACAGAGCTCTACAGTCAAAGAATTTTAAGATGCTATAATCACAAAATGAACAAGACAGTTAGGCAAAGCAGACTATGACAACAAAAGAGAATAAATAGAAGGCTTACCCCTATCCTGGGCTCACTCACAAAACTCCAGCAGAGCAGATCTCCAGCAAAGATCCTTCCCTCCTGGCAGCCAGCTCTTAAATAGCTCTAGGAGGGGGCAGCCAGGCTCCACCCCCTTCTGGCAGCACAGGTGAATTGAATTGCCTTCACCTGTGCTCCTCTGGCTGCCTCATGGCTCGCCTCAGGTGATCAATCAGAGGTTCAGGCCATGACTCAGCAGTTCCCATACAAGAGCCCAGCTGGAACATCAGCTTGCAAAACAAGTCTTCGCAAGAACAAGACCAAATACCAAGGACAGCTCTCTCTACAAAACATTTGCAGCCACAGCCACAAATATCAACTCCCTTAAAACTGCCAAAATACCTTATTCAATTCCAGGATCATTCTTCAGTCAGGGGCCGTTAGGTCCCCAATATAACACCCCAACAACGTCACCATCCAGCGTTCACTCCCTGATGTCACCCACCCTTCCTCCCCCAAAAGCCCCAACATAACCCATGCCACTAAAATGACACTTCAGAATCACTCTCCAGTGTCACCCCAATGTCACTCCCAGAGTCGTGCCAACAATGTCACCCCCCAGCATCACACTAAGTCACCCCAGTGTCTCCATCGAGTATCTCTCTCTTTCTGAATTCCCCCCCCTCCCCTACCCCCCACCCGCAATACCCCAGCATCACCCCCCAGCGTCACTCTCCAGGCTCAGTCCACAACTTCACCCCAGTGTCATCCCAGCATCACTCCATGGCATCACCCCAACTTGCTTGCCAAGTAAGCAAGGCTTGGGACAGCAGCTCTTAGCGGGGCTGTATAAGCTTTCAGACACCGACAATCGATTGTTAATCATCACCTTCCATCTGGTTTCCAAACCAGATGACAACGAGTTATGTGGGGAGTCTGTTCTGGAAACGATTTGTCTTTTCTCCAAACCTGCTATGAGTTCAGAAATCACACATCATGCTGCAGCAGAAATGGGGTACAGTGGTATGTTAGCGACCCCTGCTTCAGGGAGCACAGGGGCTGCGTAAAGTGCACACGCTGCAGTCTCCCTATTTCTTTGGAGTCTGGGATTGAAACTTGACCCAAAAGGCCACACGCTGCCATACAGGCAGGTGCCAGATTCACCCACTGATTATGTCAAATCCTGAATTGTTTTCACAATGGGCTTTAATTACAAAGAAAGTAGGCGACACGTTTCTCACTGGAGAGCCACAAGCTGTCCCCACTAGTTTGGCAAACAGCGCTCGCTCCGATCACACCGGTGATCTCAACTCTGCCATCGAGGCTGCACACACAGCTTTTCAGCATCTTGCTGTATCAGTACTGAAATTTGTGTGCTTTATCAGTACTGAAATTTGTGCTCCCCTATCTATCAGAAATTTTACTGAATGCTTTTGAGGACAGACTTCAATCAAAATATGCATGCCATTGTTGCTCATCCTTTGATCAAACTCCCCTTGCTGGACAGGCAGATCCAATCACCTGCTTGTAATTAGTCTTTTTTTGTTGTTGTTTACAGTCTGAAGCAGTGATTGAGCACCTGGTGAGGGGTGTGGCCAGCCCTGCCAGCACAGGTGGAAGCAATCTACCTGTGGGACCGGATAGGGCTGAGCTTGGCTCCACCCCCTCCCTGCCCATATTTAAGGGCTGGGAACAGCAAGGGCAGCATTCTGCTTGGGAGCTGCCTCCTTGGGATCATTGGAAGCAAGTTCTGCTCTTTGGAATTGGGGTGAGTGATTGATGCTTTGTTGCAGGGCTCTGGTCTTTCTGTTTTTGGGATCCTAACTGCTTTTAAAGGTAGAAAGCTGTACGGAGACTCTGCACGGAGACTGCTTCCTTTGGGGTGTGGGCTGAGTGTTTGCTTTTGGAATGGGGTCATTGGTTTCTTCTTTATTGCTGGATTGTAATTTTACTTTCTGGAGGGCTCCTGACCATGTTTAAGGTCTGTCAGCAGAAAGAGCGGCAACTGCACCTGGAGACTGCTTCCTTTAGAGCGTGGGGTGAACCCTTGAAACAGGGTGAGTGATTCTTTATTCCAGAGTTGCAATATCTTGTTTTTGGGAGGATCCTGACTCCACTTAGGGGCTGGTAGCCTTTAAGGTGGTATCCATCTTTAGAGACTGTCTTCTTGGGAGTGTGGGGTGAGGTCTGGTCCTTAAGAAAAGATGAGTGATTCCTTCTTATTTTAGGGCTGTGACCTTTCCCTTTTGGTTTTTGGGGCATCCTGACCACATCTAAGTGCTGACAGATGTATGGGCAATGTTGATCTCTGGAGACTGTCTCCTGTGGAGCATGAGTGAGTTTTGGCCTTTGAGAAGGGTGTAAGTGGTTTCTTCTTCATTTCAGGGCTGCAATCTTCCCTTGTGTGTTTTGTGTGTGTGTTTTGTTCTTTTTGTTTGTTTGTTTGTTTTTTTATAGTATCCTGACCACTTTTAAGGGGTGGAAGCCATAAGGGTAGCATCTGTACCTGGAGACTACTTCCTTGGCAGTGTGGGCTGAGTGTTCATCTTTGGAATGGAGTAACTTCTTCTTCTTCCTTTATTTCAGGGCTGTTATGCACTGCTTCCAACCGTGCAGAGTTGTTTAAGGGCATTCTGTGCACCCTTAGGTGTAATAAGTCTTCATCTTTATAGGAAGCCAAGGTTTGTCCTCTTCTGGACCGCTGTACTCAGCATCACCCCAGATATCTCCATCCTAATTGTCTGGAGATGCTGTCAGTTTCCTAATCTGTACGGCACCCAAACCCCAATTCTTCTTCCTCCCACCCCCTGACCTGCATTCAATGCTCTGCAGCTCTGGTTCCCAACAGCGTGATGAAGTGAAGCCCCTGCTCTGCTGAATACTGGGACTGGCCCAGAGAGGCTCTGACGGATGTGGATTATCCCAGCTGGAGTACTTGGTACCATTGGTGGTGATCTCGTCCAACTGCCACACAACGAACAGGAACATCCACAGCCAGATCAGTGCCCAGAGCCTGACCCAGCCTCACCTTGGAAGGGACAGGGCATCCATCATGTCTGGGTAATCTGTTCTGCTGTGTCACCACCATCACTGTACAGGATTTTCTTCATATCTAGGCTAAATCTTTCCTTGTTCTTCCCTTCAGGTGTTGAAAGGCTGTTACCAGATCACCTCGGAGCCTTCACTTCTGCAGGCTGAGCAGCTCCAGCTCTCTTTCTTCATAGGAAAGGCGTTCCATCCCTCGGTTCATATCTGTGGCCATTCTCTGGATGTGCTCCAACAGCTCCACGTCTGTCCTGCACTGCAGGCATCCACATCCACACACAGCACCTCCAGGTGAGGCCTCCCAGCACAGAGCAGAGGGGCAGGACCACCTCCCTTCGCCTGCTGACCGCACATCTTTGGATGGAGCCCAGCATACGGTTGGCTTTCTGGGCTGGAAGGCGCGTTGCTGAGTGCCACTACTCAGCCTGTTGAGGTCCCTCTGGATGGCATCCCGTCCCTCTGGTGTGTCACCGCACCCCACAGCTCGGTGTCATTAGGGTGCACTCCACCCTACTGTCAATGTCACTGATGAAGGGGCAATCCCAGATGTTTGTGCAAACTCAGCAAAGAACACCTTGAGAGCAGCCCCACAGAGAAGGATCCTGGTGGGTGAGAAGCTGGACGTCAGCCAGCAGAGCGGGCTTGCAGCCTGGAAGGCCAGCTGTGTTCTGGGCTGCATTAAAAGAGGAGCGGCCAGCAGGGAGAGTGAGGTGATCGTCCCCATCTGCTCTGCTCTTGTGAGGCCCCATCTGCAGCGCTGCATCCAGGCCTGGGGCCCCCAGCACAGGAAGGACGTGGAGCTCACGGAGCGGGTCCAGAGGAGGCACTGAGATGATCAGATGGTTGGAGCAGCTCTCCTACAAGGAAAGGTTGAGGGAAGTGGGCTTGTTCAGCCTGGAGAAGAGAAGGCTTGGGGGGGACCTCATTGCAGCCTCACAGTACTTGAAGGGGGGAACAGCAGGAAGGGGAATGGCTGTTTACAAGGGTGGATCGTGATAGGACAAGGGGAATGGTTTTAAGCTGAGACAGGGGAATGGTTTAGGTTGGTTATTAGGAGGAAGCTTTTCACACAGAGGGTGGTGACGCACTGGAACGTGCTTCAGAGTCCCTTCCAGGAGGATCTGCTCCATGACTTTTTGCAGCACAGAGGTGAGACTGACATGTTGGCAGTTCCCAGGGTCACACTTTATATCTGCAGTAACAGCTGTGCTGTCACCTTTTTTCTGCTCACCAGGGACTTCACCTGACTGCCTCGACTTCTCAAATACCACTGAGAGTGGCTCGGTGACTGCAGCACTGAATTCCCTCAGAGCTCTGGGACTCGTCTCATCAGGACCCAAAGACTCCTGGATGCTCGGGTCCTCAGGTGCTCCAGAACCTGATCTCCCATCACAGTGTGGGATAGGGAGGGGTCTGTGGGACCGGCATTGCTTCCTGAATCCCCACCTACCAAACCAAAGGTGAGGGCGGTGTATAATGAGCAGTTATCAGAGAAGATGGAAGATGGATGTTGTTGGGTACCTCAGCCTTCTCCTTGTCTGTTGTTCCCAGCTCAGTGCTTGCCGGTAAGCAGAATCGTGCGCAGAGCGCAGCCACGTTGATCAGAGAAAGGAGCGCAGGTTTGTGAAAGAGGCACATCTGCAGGGCAGTGCCTTCATTACTGCTTTGTGTCCCACAGGTGGCAGCAGGCTGCGGCGCTCCTGAGTGCCATAAGGACTGCATGGAGATGCGTGGCTCTTATGGGAGCAGCAAGGAACCGGAATCTGCATTTCCTGGAATGCCTGGAACCCTGCTTTGCTGGCTGGTAATTGTCTGCCCAGCAGGTAAGGGCAATGCACACCCACCAGTGTTTACCCATTCCCTAGCATGGCACAGCACGGTGCTCCCACAGCTCTTCATTGCACTTCGTGGTGCCCTGGATGCTGCCTGTCCTTTTCTTTCTGTGTTCTCCTTGTCTCCGGCCTTTCACTGCAGCGTTTTCATTCCCTTTGCCCTTGCTGTTCCCTACTCCATTCTCTTGCCCTCCTGTTTTTGTGTTCCATGCCACGTTCTCTTGGCCGCTGCCCTTGCCTTTCTTTGCCGCATTCACTTCAGCATTCAGTTTTGGCGTTCCGTGCCGCGTTCTCTCGCCCTCCTGTTCTGGCATTTCCTTCCATGTTCTCTTAGCCGTTGCCATTGGTTGGGCATCCTCTTGTCCTCCTGTTTTTGTGTTCCATGCTGGTTTCTCTCGGCCGTTGCCCTTGGCTTTCTTTGCCATATTCACTTCAGCATTCAGTTTTGGCGTTCCCTGCTGCGTTCTCCTGCCCTCCTGTTTTGGCGTTTCTTGCCGTGTTCTCTTGGCCATCATCCTTGGCATTTCCTTCCACGTTCTCTTGGCCCTTGCCCTTGTCTGGGCATTCCCTTGCCCCCCTGTTATTGTGTCCCATGCTATGTTCTCTTGGCCATTGCCCTTGGCTTTCTGTAGCCACATTCTCTTCACCATTTGATTTTGGCGTTCCCGGCAGCGTTCTCTTGCCCTCCTGTTCTGGCACTTCCTGCCATGTTTTCTTAGCCCTTTCCTGGGCATTCCATGCCGTGCTCCCTCGGCCTTCTGTTTTGGCATTTTGTGCTGCGTTCTTTTGGCCGTTGCCCTTGGCCTTTCCTGCTGCGGTCTCTTTGCCCTCCCCTTGGCTTTCCATCGGTGCTCTCTTTGCTTTTGCCCTTGCCTTAGCTTGGCTGTTTGCTTTGCATTTACCTTGGCTTTCCACGGGAGTTCTGCTTTCCTTTGCCTGCCCTGGGTGTCCTGCTTCCCTTTGCCTTTAGCACTCTAGCGTGAGCTGGGAGGCAGCATTAATGTTACCCTCGACCTAAACCCACAGCTGAATGGGAGTTCTAACGATAACTTTGTTAACCTGCAGCGTATCTGTAGACCAAACCCTTAACCCAGTGTTGAAAATGTCTCTTACCCTGAATGCTGCCGTAAAAATAATGCCCCATGTTTTGTCAAATAACCCTAATTGTAGTGCAGAATACTGATGTTAGACCATCTGTAACTTCAACCCTATCAATACCATTAATTCTATCCCTAACGTTAATTATAATTAATTACAACCCTTGTGTCATCATTACAGCATTGTGCTCAGGGTGCAGCCCCACACATGCGGGGCAGCGCCTTCATTACTGCGTTGTGTCCCACAGGTGGCAGCAGAGTTGCATTGCTCCTGAGCGCTGTAAGGACAGCACGGAGATGCGCGGCTCTTCAGGCAGCAGCAAGGAACCGGAATCTGCATTTCCTGGGATGCCCGGAACCCCGCTTTGCTGGCCGGTAATTGTCTGCCCAGCAGGTAAGGGCGATGCTCACCCACCGGTGTTTACTCATTACTTAGCGAGGCACAAGGTAGGGTTCACAGAGCTCATTTCTGCACTTCACGGTGCCCTGGATGCTGCCTGTCCTTTTCTTTCTGTGTTCTCCTCGCCTCCAGCCTTTCACTGCAGCGTTCTCCTTGCTCTTGGCTTTCCCTGCTGCGTTCTCTTGCCCTCCTGTTTTGGCGTTCCCTGTGGCATTCTCTTGGCCGTTTGCCCTTGGCCACCTTCACTGTGTTTTCTTTGGCCTTCGGCTTTGGCCATCTGTGCCACATTCCCTTGGCCTTTGTCCTTGGCCTTCTTTGCCACGTTCACTTTCCCTCCCGTTCTGGCGTTCCCTACAGCATTATTTTGGCCTTCAGTTCTGGCGTTCGTGGCTGCGTTCTCTTTGGCCGTTGCCCTCGGCCTTCTTTGCCCCATTTCCTTTGGCCTCCTGTTCTGGCGTTCCCTGCGGCGTTCTCTTTGGCTTCTATTTTGGCGTTCCCTTCCATGTTCTTTTTGGCCATTGCTCCTGGCCTTCTTTGCCCATTCCCTTTGGCCTCTTGTTTTGTCTTCTCCTACAGCATTCTCTTTGCCTTTGGTTTTGGCCTTTTGTGCCGCATTCTCTTTGGCCATTGCCCTTGACCTTCTGCATCGGCCTTCCCTGCAGCGTTCTCACGGACCTCGCCCTCCATTTTGGCCTTCTGCGTCGATCTCTTTGGTCTCCATTCTGGCGTTCTCTGCGGCCTTCTTCTTGGGCCTGACCTCTGACGCGACCTTTGGCGTTCTCCATGTCTTTCCCATCCCTTTGCCCTCTGTTTTGGCGTTCCCTCGGCTGTTCTCCTTGCCTTTTGCTCCTGCCTTTGCCTTGGCCTTCCCTAACGGTCACTCTAACCCTAATCCTGATGTACCTAACCCTAACACCTTTCCTGTTAAATACTCCTAACCTTACTCTGAAGCCTTTTCTTAGAGCGGTGTTTGGCTTCCACATTTTGTGGGGGTGGGCTGACGGTGAGCACCGTTTGGGTCTCGGCGTTCCTCCTTCTAAAGCGTGTCTCTGTATTACAGGTGAAGATGCCTTCGACGCTTCCAGTCGATGACTTCCCCCCTGCGACGCCATTGGCTTTCCAGGCCTCCCACACTCACCGCCAGCTCGGTTCGGTCAACCGTTACCCGAATCCCCGCTCCGTTCCCTTTCCATGATCCTCCCGTCACTCTGCCACAAGCCCCTACCAAGGTCATCGCAGGCAGCGTGCGGGATGCGGCGCTCGGTCTCATTGCAGTTCATCCCATCGGCCTCAGCCCAGCGATCCAACCCACCCGCACCCTTCCTGAGGGCCCTTCTGCTCCCAGGCCAATCAACGCTTCCTTCTCATGCCATCTGCGTTCCTTCCAGGCCATTTTCAGACTCCTGCCCCTTTGTGGCCATTTTGAGAGTTGTGCTGATTTCAGCATGTGCATTCAATTGACTTCAACCAAATTGGCTTTAGCCTTGCATTCAATTGACTTCAACAAAATTGGCTTTAGCCTTGCATTCAATTGACTTCAACCAAATTGGCTTTAGTTTTACATTCAATTGGCTTCAACCAAATTGGCTTTGGCTTTACATTCAATTAATATAAGCCAAATTGGCTTTAGCTTTGCCTTGGTTACGGGGTTGGGCTAGCCTTGCTTTGTTTGCTCCTAGGCAGGGCTACCCCAACCCCGTAACCAAGGGCCGTCGGAGGCGATTTTGTTCCTTCCCGGCCAGTCTGAGACTCGCGCCCCATTGCGGCCATTTTGAGAGTTGCTCTGATTTCAGCTTGTGCGTTCAATTTATCTCAACCAAATTGGCTTTAGCCTTGCAATCATTTTGCATCAACCAAATTGGCTTTAGCTTTACATGCAATTGACTTCAATCAAATTGGCTTTGGCTTTGCATTCAATTGGCTTCAACCAAATTGACTTTAGCTTTGCATTCAATTGACTTCAACCAAATTGGCTTTAGCCTTGCATTCAATTGGCTTCAACCAAATTGGCTTTAGCTTTACATTCGATTGACTTCATCCAAATTGGCTTTAGCTTTACGTTCAATTAATGTAAGCCATATTGGCTTTAGCTTTGCCTTGGTTACGGGGTTGGGCTAGCCTTGCTTTGTTTGTTCCTAGGCAGGGCTACCCCAACCCCGTAACCAAGGGCCGTCGGAGGCGATTTTGTTCCTTCCCGGCCAGTCTGAGACTCGCGCCCCATTGCGGCCATTTTGAGAGTTGTGCTGATTTCAGCATCTGCGTTCAATTTATCTCAACCAAATTGGCTTTAGCCTTGCAATCATTTTGCATCAACCAAATTGGCTTTAGCTTTGCATTCAATTGACTTCAACCAAATTGGCTTTAGCTTTGCATTCAATTGGCTTCAACCAAATTGGCTTTAGCTTTACATGCAATTGACTTCAACCAAATTGGCTTTGGCTTTGCATTCAATTGACTTCAACCAAATTGACTTTAGCTTTGCATTCAATTGACTTCAACCAAATTGGCTTTAGCCTTGCATTCAATTGGCTTCAACCAAATTGGCTTTAGCTTTACATTCGATTGACTTCATCCAAATTGGCTTTAGCTTTACATTCAATTAATGTAAGCCAAATTGGCTTTAGCTTTGCCTTGGTTACGGGGTTGGGCTAGCCTTGCTTTGTTTGTTCCTAGGCAGGGCTACCCCAACCCCGTAACCAAGGGCCGTTGGAGGCGATTTTGTTCCTCCCGGCCAGTCTGAGACTCGCGCCCCATTGCGGCCATTTTGAGAGTTGCTCTGATTTCAGCATCTGCGTTCAATTTATCTCAACCAAATTGGCTTTAGCCTTGCAATCATTTTGCATCAACCAAATTGGCTTTGGCTTTGCATTCAATTGACTTCAACCAAATTGGCTTTAGCCTTGCATTCAATTGGCTTCAACCAAATGGCTTTAGCTTTACATTCAATTAATGTAAACCAAATTGGCTTTAGCTTTGCCTTGGTTACGGGGTTGGGCTAGCCTTGCTTTGTTTGCTCCTAGGCAGGGCTACCCCAACCCCGTAACCAAGGGCCGTCGGAGGCGATTTTGTTCCTTCCCGGCCAGTCTGAGACTCGCGCCCCATTGCGGCTATTTTGAGAGTTGCTCTGATTTCAGCATGTGCGTTCAATTTATCTCAACCAAATTGGCTTTAGCATGTGCATTCAATTGGCTTCAACCAAATTGGCTTTAGCTTTACATTCAATTGACTTGAACCAAATTGGCTTTGGTTTTGCATTCAATTGGCTTCAACCAAATTGGCTTTAGCCTTGCATTCAATTGACTTCATCCAAATTGGCTTTAGCTTTACATTCAATTAATGTAAGCCATATTGGCTTTAGCTTTGCCTTGGTTACGGGGTTGGGCTAGCCTTGCTTTGTTTGCTCCTAGGCAGGGCTAACCCAACCCCGTAACCAAGGGCCGTCGGAGGCGATTTTGTTCCTTCCCGGCCAGTCTGAGACTCGCGCCCCTTTGTGGCCGTTCTGAGAATTGCAATGTGTTTGGGTGGGCTGAGATCTGCACTGCTTTTGAGGTGGGTTGCGGTATGCAACATTCTCACAAGTGTGGTGTCACTAATGGGGTGTGGAGGCTTTGTACCCTTTCTCTGGTTGGTCTGACATCTATGTGAACCATGTCTTAAAGTGTACTGCGTATGCGTGTGCTGCGCCTGTAAATTGCGTCGTGCCATGTATGCAATATGTGTTAAGTTGCGCCTGTAAACTGTGTTGTGCCATGTACAGAATGTGTGGATGCTGCGCCTATAAACTAAGTCTTGGAATCAGAGATCCATGTTCATTACATGTTTTGCTTCTCAATGTGTAGTTGCTGGTATAGCGCGTATGTATATGATTGTATGAGTCATGCCTTGTGGAAACAGTGCTGTAATAAACAAACAGTTAAACAATGCACGTATGTTGTGTGTCTTGCTTTGTCACGGCAACGACTGGAAGGACACTGGAAGGTAGGTGAGAAAGGTAGGTGTGGAGGGTGGTAGACTTAGACGGAGGTTAGACTTAGACTTAGACACTGGGGGTTAGACTTAGACACTAAGGGTTAGACTTAGACTTAGACGTAGACACTAAGGGTTACACTTAGACACTGGGGGTTAGACTTAGACATAGACCCTGGGGGTTAGACTTAGACTTAGACACTGGGCGTTAGACTTAGACTTAGACGTAGACACTAAGGGTTAGACTTAGACCCTGGGGGTTAGACTTAGACTTAGACGTAGACACTAAGGGTTAGACTTAGACCCTGGGGGTTAGACTTAGACTTAGACGTAGACACTAAGGGTTAGACTTAGACCCTGGGGGTTAGACTTAGACTTAGACACTGGGCGTTAGACTTAGACTTAGACGTAGACACTAAGGGTTAGACTTAGACCCTGGGGGTTAGACTTAGACTTAGACGTAGACACTAAGGGTTAGACTTAGACCCTGGGGGTTAGACTTAGACTTAGACACTGGGCGTTAGACTTAGACTTAGACGTAGACACTAAGGGTTAGACTTAGACCCTGGGGGTTAGACTTAGACTTAGACGTAGACACTAAGGGTTAGACTTAGACCCTGGGGGTTAGACTTAGACTTAGACGTAGACACTAAGGGTTAGACTTAGACCCTGGGGGTTAGACTTAGACTTAGACACTGGGTGTTAGACTTAGACTTAGACGTAGACACTAAGGGTTAGACTTAGACCCTGGGGGTTAGACTTAGACTTAGACACTGGGCGTTAGACTTAGACTTAGACGTAGACACTAAGGGTTAGACTTAGACCCTGGGGGTTAGACTTAGACTTAGACACTGGGCGTTAGACTTAGACTTAGACGTAGACACTAAGGGTTAGACTTAGACCCTGGGGGTTAGACTTAGACTTAGACACTGGGCGTTAGACTTAGACTTAGACGTAGACACTAAGGGTTAGACTTAGACCCTGGGGGTTAGACTTAGACTTAGACGTAGACACTAAGGGTTAGACTTAGACCCTGGGGGTTAGACTTAGACTTAGACACTGGGCGTTAGACTTAGACTTAGACGTAGACACTAAGGGTTAGACTTAGACACTGGGCGTTAGACTTAGACTTAGACGTAGACACTAAGGGTTAGACTTAGACCCTGGGGGTTAGACTTAGACTTAGACGTAGACACTAAGGGTTAGACTTAGACCCTGGGGGTTAGACTTAGACTTAGACGTAGACACTAAGGGTTAGACTTAGACCCTGGGGGTTAGACTTAGACTTAGACACTGGGCGTTAGACTTAGACTTAGACGTAGACACTAAGGGTTAGACTTAGACCCTGGGGGTTAGACTTAGACTTAGACACTGGGCGTTAGACTTAGACTTAGACGTAGACACTAAGGGTTAGACTTAGACCCTGGGGGTTAGACTTAGACTTAGACACTGGGCGTTAGACTTAGACTTAGACGTAGACACTAAGGGTTAGACTTAGACCCTGGGGGTTAGACTTAGACTTAGACACTGGGCGTTAGACTTAGACTTAGACGTAGACACTAAGGGTTAGACTTAGACCCTGGGGGTTAGACTTAGACTTAGACACTGGGCGTTAGACTTAGACTTAGACGTAGACACTAAGGGTTAGACTTAGACCCTGGGGGTTAGACTTAGACTTAGACACTGGGCGTTAGACTTAGACTTAGACGTAGACACTAAGGGTTAGACTTAGACCCTGGGGGTTAGACTTAGACTTAGACACTGGGCGTTAGACTTAGACTTAGACGTAGACACTAAGGGTTAGACTTAGACCCTGGGGGTTAGACTTAGACTTAGACACTGGGCGTTAGACTTAGACTTAGACGTAGACACTAAGGGTTAGACTTAGACCCTGGGGGTTAGACTTAGACTTAGACACTGGGCGTTAGACTTAGACTTAGACGTAGACACTAAGGGTTAGACTTAGACCCTGGGGGTTAGACTTAGACTTAGACACTGGGCGTTAGACTTAGACTTAGACGTAGACACTAAGGGTTAGACTTAGACCCTGGGGGTTAGACTTAGACTTAGACACTGGGCGTTAGACTTAGACTTAGACGTAGACACTAAGGGTTAGACTTAGACCCTGGGGGTTAGACTTAGACTTAGACACTGGGCGTTAGACTTAGACTTAGACGTAGACACTAAGGGTTAGACTTAGACCCTGGGGGTTAGACTTAGACTTAGACACTGGGCGTTAGACTTAGACTTAGACGTAGACACTAAGGGTTAGACTTAGACCCTGGGGGTTAGACTTAGACTTAGACACTGGGCGTTAGACTTAGACTTAGACGTAGACACTAAGGGTTAGACTTAGACCCTGGGGGTTAGACTTAGACTTAGACACTGGGCGTTAGACTTAGACTTAGACGTAGACACTAAGGGTTAGACTTAGACCCTGGGGGTTAGACTTAGACTTAGACACTGGGCGTTAGACTTAGACTTAGACGTAGACACTAAGGGTTAGACTTAGACCCTGGGGGTTAGACTTAGACTTAGACACTGGGCGTTAGACTTAGACTTAGACGTAGACACTAAGGGTTAGACTTAGACCCTGGGGGTTAGACTTAGACTTAGACACTGGGCGTTAGACTTAGACTTAGACGTAGACACTAAGGGTTAGACTTAGACCCTGGGGGTTAGACTTAGACTTAGACACTGGGCGTTAGACTTAGACTTAGACGTAGACACTAAGGGTTAGACTTAGACCCTGGGGGTTAGACTTAGACTTAGACACTGGGCGTTAGACTTAGACTTAGACGTAGACACTAAGGGTTAGACTTAGACCCTGGGGGTTAGACTTAGACTTAGACACTGGGCGTTAGACTTAGACTTAGACGTAGACACTAAGGGTTAGACTTAGACCCTGGGGGTTAGACTTAGACTTAGACACTGGGCGTTAGACTTAGACTTAGACGTAGACACTAAGGGTTAGACTTAGACCCTGGGGGTTAGACTTAGACTTAGACACTGGGCGTTAGACTTAGACTTAGACGTAGACACTAAGGGTTAGACTTAGACCCTGGGGGTTAGACTTAGACTTAGACACTGGGCGTTAGACTTAGACTTAGACGTAGACACTAAGGGTTAGACTTAGACCCTGGGGGTTAGACTTAGACTTAGACACTGGGCGTTAGACTTAGACTTAGACGTAGACACTAAGGGTTAGACTTAGACCCTGGGGGTTAGACTTAGACTTAGACACTGGGCGTTAGACTTAGACTTAGACGTAGACACTAAGGGTTAGACTTAGACCCTGGGGGTTAGACTTAGACTTAGACACTGGGCGTTAGACTTAGACTTAGACGTAGACACTAAGGGTTAGACTTAGACCCTGGGGGTTAGACTTAGACTTAGACACTGGGCGTTAGACTTAGACTTAGACGTAGACACTAAGGGTTAGACTTAGACCCTGGGGGTTAGACTTAGACTTAGACACTGGGCGTTAGACTTAGACTTAGACGTAGACACTAAGGGTTAGACTTAGACCCTGGGGGTTAGACTTAGACTTAGACACTGGGCGTTAGACTTAGACTTAGACGTAGACACTAAGGGTTAGACTTAGACCCTGGGGGTTAGACTTAGACTTAGACACTGGGCGTTAGACTTAGACTTAGACGTAGACACTAAGGGTTAGACTTAGACCCTGGGGGTTAGACTTAGACTTAGACACTGGGCGTTAGACTTAGACTTAGACGTAGACACTAAGGGTTAGACTTAGACCCTGGGGGTTAGACTTAGACTTAGACACTGGGCGTTAGACTTAGACTTAGACGTAGACACTAAGGGTTAGACTTAGACCCTGGGGGTTAGACTTAGACTTAGACACTGGGCGTTAGACTTAGACTTAGACGTAGACACTAAGGGTTAGACTTAGACCCTGGGGGTTAGACTTAGACTTAGACACTGGGCGTTAGACTTAGACTTAGACGTAGACACTAAGGGTTAGACTTAGACCCTGGGGGTTAGACTTAGACTTAGACACTGGGCGTTAGACTTAGACTTAGA